GGCAAAAAAACTGATTTCGCCGGGTTGCTTTTCCACCATTTTAATTTCGAAAATCTCTCTCCTTGGCATTACCCGACAATTGCCGGAAGGGAAAGCATGTTTTTTGTTTTTTTCAAGATCAGACTGGACCTCTTACATGAACATCTTAAACGCGATTACGGTTGGGAGTCATTCTCGAGGCAATGCCTCCTCCACGTACAGCTTGTTTCGCTACTCGACTCACGCATTTTGCTACCGTTCTAAGTATTGAATCTTCTTTTAGGTTGTAGTAGGTTCCAATACCGAAAATTTGCGCAGTTATTAGTGGTGCAAATGAAGCGAGATGACTATTTGTTCAGAAAGAGGGATGGACATTCGAATGCACAACCACGCTGGTCAAATTCCACCTCTCTCCAATTCACACCAAAAAAAACTGACTCCGAAAAGTTCATTTTCCTGTATGAAGGAGTCTTTTTTGCGCAGGCACTTCTTTCCCATCGAGATGATGACATATGACCATTGGAAAAGTGATTTGCACCCACAGCCTTCGATTCGAGGCTCGCCCGACTGAAACGTGGCCGGTAAATAATGCCTTTTAGCAAATCTCGTCTGTAAATTTTACACGTAAATTGGCAGAGGACAATTACTAGGAGGCGTAGTTTAGATCATTCAATCCATCGCTTTTTATCGGCATATTTTTCGCACTGAAGGATGTCTAGCCTCTGGCATACGCCAAGTTCAATGTATGTGTCGACTCACAGAAGTAGTGCTAAGCTGACTTCATTCTATTCACTTCCCACCTCGTCCCTCCGTCGATCCGTTCAAATCTCACGAACTCAACGACATGAACGAGCTTTACTTTTTCTCTATTTTGCCCAAACCACTGCCTTGGCAACAGACCACAAAACAACCAAAGCCGCAGCAGATGACTCAACTGCACTTTGACTGCCTCTGCATGCAATCGCGGAGTAAATTGTGGACGCATGCATCGGTTAAGCTGATGACTTTAGTAGGCACTTCTGTGAGTTCAAACCATCACCTACTGACAGTAATAGACCTGTCAAATTGCCATGGGCTTAGAGGCATCCATAAGTTTGCTTTCTTGTTTATGCAACGGACGGCAGACAGACAGACCTGACACATCACTAGCCAAGTGTTTCATGCACTGCATGGGCTGTTTAGCTCGCAGTGTTGCTGACAGGCCACAATGGGTCATCAGCATTGTACTTCCGCCAAGTTGTCTGACCTCAGGGTCATTCCTGCGGCTGGAAACGATTTCAACAGGACTCTTTTAAAATACCAGCTTGTCGATGTAAATAAGGTGATTAGACGGCACCTTCCTACTTTTCTAGACGTTTGATAGACAAGCAGACATGGTTTGACGGCAAAAAAGTGATAACAAGGTACAAAGGAGGAAAGAAAACAAAAACCAGTAATTTTATAACAACTAGTTATTAAGGGCCGAGCTTAGCTAGGCGTGTGGCCTGCAAACACGCGATTGTTGAGAAAAGCGACACTTAGCAAAGCTTGATGGTGTGGGTGGTTTGTGAGTGCTTTTTCCACAGCACCAATCCTGTTGTGATGGCTGTGAGGTCAGCTGACCCCAAAGAATGCTGAGAACAGCGGTCTAAACAGGTGATTTGTCATTTGTCATTTGTTTGTTTGATATTTACTCTCAAGTTTTGAGACTACTTTAATGCACCGTCATTATTACCTCCTTCGAAGGAAACAAAGAAGTAGAGAAAAGAGGAGGTGACCTTCAGACAATCTATTCTTCGTTCTAATACCAAGTCTTCAATTGTTAATTAAGGATTTTGAAGGCTCATACCAAATCCTCCTCTCTCTTCTCCAAGTCATTGTGATCAGTCAGCTGGTGATTTTGAAGTGGTTATTCGTGGTTTCGAAGGCTTCGATCCTGATAATGGAGGTGGCGCATCTAGACTTTAGCCTCGCTTGGAGAGAGGACGAGAGGACGTAAATATGCGGTCCAAGTTACATAAAAAACTAATTAAATCGAGTGAGTGGCAGCCGATTTGTTGATTTACTTTAATGGCCACAAAGTTTGTTAATATGACTTACACCGAGCACACATTTCTTTTAGGCACCTTTGCATTTAATCCGCCACCAAATTTGGATTAATGCATGCCAGAGAAGTCCATTTGTCTCCTTAGGTTAGTGTGACTGCTGGTCCATTCATTGCGTTTGCTTACGACAACAAAAAGTCGCCTTTACGTTTGGCTTCAAAAGATCCAGATTTTGTTGTTAAAATGCAGGCAGTTAATTGTACGATCCAGACAGAAATGACTGTCATAAAACGGTGATTTGTGTCGCCATGGCATTCGACCTTTTATCACCATTCAATGGACCGCCTTAACTTGCGTGTACAGTCGTGGATGGGGCGTGATGCCTGCCGACAGCCACACTTGCACGAATGTCGTAAATGTGTCTGGATCCAATCACGGAGTCCGTCCACGTTGGGCTCTTGCGCAATGAAAATTTGGCATGACTATGAATGATTCATACTGAGTGGGTGTGTAGAGAGTTGCGTAGCATTCTGCTTTCCAAAAAGGTGACTTGACTAGCGTCAATGGACGCCAATAAGTGCTGCAGAGAGCACCAACAGATGAAAGATAAGAATAAATCAAATGATTACCTTAGACGTTAGACTGCAGTCCGACTGCCTTCATTCTGCCTTTAGATCAAAACCGACAACTTTATGGCATTGACGGACTTGACAACCTTCGGAAAGGGGTTTAAGATGGTCCAAGTTGGATATTTCCCATTAGCAGGGTCACATCACCATCCTGTTATAGCTGCTCATCTAAATTTTTTTAGCGTGTAGACAAGGTCAGTAAAAGCTGGATGATTTCATTATCCGCTTTATGTCCTGCTTTGCAGCTAAAGCTCTTCAATATGACACTAGGTGTGAAGATGATCAGGCGAAAGTCAGCATTTTTACGTCTTGACACGTGTACTCCACCCGAAGAAAACCATACTCGTGTATCTGCTAGTTTGATGCTGTCAAAGTTATGCTTTCTCCGCCAATGCCAACACAATATACGCTGCTGCCAAAACCACAGAATGCCCTGACTTCTGACCTCCACACTTGAGAGTTGAGACTGTTAAGATGCTTCAGTTGTTGCACACTGACTGTGCCATGGGTTAGTTGGAAGGCATCGCCTTGTCAACAAGTTCTGCATCCACCTTTGGACGACTTCCTTCCGTTCCGCTGCTGATACTGGCATTTACAATCCTCACGGTGCTGTTCTTTGTTTTGGTCTTTGGCATGGGTAAGGGCAGATTCAGTCGATGTAAAATAAGTCTGTTCCAAAAAGGAAGCACCATGATATTAACAACTTCACATGACCTTTACGTGGTTAACAGGAGTGAAAAGAGCTATTAACTTGATGAAGGGCACAGATAAAGCTGGCAGCTAGTAGCTGTCAAGAAAACGCCCTTCCAATTAGTACTGACTGTCTGCTAGGTGGTAAATTTGCCCAGACGTTGGTCTATTCTATCCAAAAGTAAGAGACGCTGAGATTGAAGACGGCTTGGACTCAGTTGACAGCTGCAACACCACACTAAGATAAAAGCCATAAATTGTCATTGAAACTTGTCTTAAAGACAAAGACACCAAATGGACTCAGAACTTCTTGCACAACAGGATCACCTTTGGCGTGTTGCTATGGTAAGAGAGTCACCTTGTCTGCCCATTGATTGAGGACTCCGCTCACTCGTCATCAGGTCGAGAACATATTTGCCCTTATGCTGTTTGTGCACATCACAATCATCATTTAGTTGATTTTGAGACCCGCATTCCCTTTACCACATCGTTATTGACAACGCTGACGCGGATGCACTCGATGTCAAATCAGAAGACCACCAAGAAGACCTGAGCAAACCTGTATTGTTCCAGTTGCAAGCACTGCACACGAGTTGTGGTACACTAGGTGGAATACCTCGATTTCGGACAACGCACATCATTCCTTTCTCCACACGCACGCGCACACACTTCAGGCCACACCACGATGACAATCCAATTTGACACTCCGATTGTGCCACCTCACATCGATTCAACTACCAAGTGAATGCATGAAAAATGCTTCTCATATCACCCTTATCAGTTGGGAACATAAGCCCCATATGAAGAGGGAAGGAGTTCGTTCCACCAAACGTCGTGAAATCTAATCTACTGCAACGCAGCTCTCATCCCAAGACCCGAATTAAGAGAAAAGAGTAGGAAGAAAGCATGCTTATTCAGGGGCTTGAAAAACGAGAGCCGTCGGCGGAGTTTATTACATAGCTAATGGTAGCGCCGTCTTGTTGATAATGACAAGCTTGCGGGTAGGGAACATCAGCACAAAGGAAGGAGAATGGGGAGAGAAGAAGAAGAAGGACGAATTTAAGTCTTCATGAGTGCCTCCACACACACAGGGACAGATGAATGCACACACGCGGGCGACGTGGGTGACGGCGGGGAGATGGAGAACAATCGCCAGAAGGGGAAGAGAACCAGAAGCAAAGGGCGACAACAAAGCGGATAAAAATGTTTGTAAGGAGAAGGTAGGAGAGAAGAGGGAAAGAACGGAAAGACGACAACACCCGTCACGCGTACACAATGGTAATAATACCACCAGTGCAATAAAGCTACATGCGCGCAGGCGTGGCAGCGGGGAGATCGAATAAAAACCGATTTACGCTTGTAGAGTACACAAAATAAGTGAAACTGAGAGATAGAGGAGAGGGTGGATGAATGCGTACACAGAAAGGATAAGGGAAGAGCAGATGAACAGGAACGGTTTGATGTGACAAGTGCAGAAAAGATAGACTGCTGCCTTGGGAGGTTGAAAAGGGGAACAACAAGAGGGGAGCGAAGTAGGCGCAGAGAACACGCAGAGGAGGAAGAAAGGACGGAGAGTGATTTATTAAGTGTTGAGGTCTAGACAGTTCAGTTAGTATTTTATATACATTTGTAGCAGCACATCCCCAGGAGATGCTCTAGCGTTCACGTGGTCCGCCAATTAGCGCTTCCCCTGCTTCTGCCTTGACCCACAGGATCCTTTTGGCTTTGGACTGTTTGTGGCAGAGGATATTGTAGCTGCACCCGCGGCTGTACTGGAGACGCTAGCAGAGGCGATGCTGGTAGTGGCGGCAGCGGCCGCAGATCCAATAGTGCCAGAACTTGTCGCACTAAAAGTACCTGCCGTGGGAGCAGTGCCAGTGATATTGGTGACCATGGAGGCTGTATCGGTAGAACTTGTCGCAGATGCGGTTGCAGCCGCTACCATGGGCATGCTAGGAGTGGAAACGAGAGCCTCAGCGGGATCTGAGATAGCCAAGCCACGACTGGGTTGCCCTAACAAATCAAGCTCCACCAATAAGGAGAAGTGGTCCGAAGGCACGTGAATATGTGGACAGCCGAGAACTCGCTCTTCCACAAACCAGGAGTCAGGAATCTGATCCAGGCTTCCCAGAAGGCGGAAGTGATTCCGGGAGAAAAAGATGTAATCGATCATCCCCTTAAAGTCGTATCTGCAAAGGCATAAAAAAGAGATCTTGAATTCTCACACCTGAAAACTCCTATTGAAATTTAGTCTTTTACTGGACGGATGCTGGGCAAGCTTACGTCAAATTGGTGACCCTCATCCCGTCATTGGCGTTAGCACGATAAGCTCGGTCAAAGTTGAAGCGATGACGCACAATATTGCCTTCGTAAGCCCATTTTTCGAGCAACTTCCATTCTTCGAAATGGTAATTGAAACCAAAGTTGAGGAATTCGACATGAGTGGCGGGAACGCTACCTGTGGAGAGGTATTCGACCACACCCGATTCCGGCAAGGAATTGAAATCGCCACAGAGAATCACGGGCATTCGTGAGGCACCCGAGCCCGGTTTTCCGCAGTCGCCACAAAACCGCTCCAAGCGGGACCACAACTCGGCAGTCCATAAGATAGTCTGGATCAACTTCACATCCGAGTGCTCCGGATCCCAGTGAATGTGACCCGTTGTCACACAGAATCTTCGACTATTCACGCCTTAAAGGTACAAAGAAGAAGTTTGAACAGTAGTTCCAAAGGACAACTATGCTGGCAGATCCTTATAATAGCCACAAATCACCTCACGGTTTAAACAATGAACACAAGAACACACTCCAAGAAATCTCACATAGCTTTTCAACTGCACTGACAATACATCAGTTTAAATAGGGCGTCCGCGAGAAAAAGGTACGGAGGAAAGAAAAATGCAATAGAAGACGTACCTGAGTTCTTAATTTCCAGAACGACCCCTATAGCGACATTGTCACGTGTCATCACCCGATTGATAAGTAGAGGGGAGGGATGGTCAGCGACGGAGGAGCAGGAGATCATGAACTCGTGATGGAATTCAGTCACTTTGGTGAACTTTTCCGAAAGCCAGAATATGGCACAGCCATCGACTTTACGTGCCGAAGCGGGTTCCATTGTACGTGAACGTGACTTGGGCAAGAAGACACCCTCATAGTTATTTTTTGCCAGTTCCGGTACAAACACCGTCTCAAATTGGTCAGTGTCAATCTCCTGCAGGCAAATTATGTTCGGCTCGTACTGCCGCAACTCCTCCAGGATACCCCTACGTCGATACTCCCAATCAATGGCCCAGGTGGGACAATAGGGGTACTGCGAGTGAGTCGCGTAGTTGGCACTGAGAACGTTGTAGCACATCACTGTGAGTCGATCTGCATGATATCAAAAGACCAAACATCATGAGCGATAAACACCTTGGGTTGAGATCGCAAACATTCAAGGCTTTGGTTATACTGAATTTAACAGATGCAAGACACTCAAATATCAGTGGGGTAGGGATTCAAAATGATGGCAAAGACAGCACGTGAAAGAACTGAGAACACAAGAGTGCGCATTCACGAGACGCCAAAATTGTGTGCTCAGAAGAAGGTGCAAATTTTATCCTAATGCGCGACAGGCCAGATGAATTGTCGAAACTGAGACAAAAGCCAGTTGCAAAGTTGTAAGTAGTCGACAGGGGGTCCACAAGTTAGATGCGTGGAGGATGTTTATCGCTGTTTGCAAACCAGCCCAATCCCAGGGTCCAGGAGAGAGGGAGTGAGACAAGAGAATAACTCACTGTCTCCAGCCCCTCCATCCTCTCTCGCGTAACACGCAGATTTAGCAACACTCCCTCGGTCTGCCCTCGACGCACCGGCCATTGGCTCAGCGTCAAGTGGAAGGATGCTCACACGCGCTCACGCCTTCCGATCGATGGATGCGCGCGCACCGTATTCCGCCTTCACCGCCACCGCCTCTAGACTCAGTAACCCCTCCCCAGGCACGCAAGCACAGGCACACCAAAGACAGGTATTCAGGCAAAGAAGAATGATGCAGAAAGCGGTACTCACATCCATTCCTCGAAGGAGTCCCAAACTGGCGCCACTGTCGGTGAGGCGGAGCGGAACCGATGTCTAAGGAAATGAAAGAAGTGGTGAATTATTTACAAGCGTACATTACATCGACAAGGAATGGGAGTCGATGCAATCTTCCATAGGCGAGTAGGGATGGGAGGCTTACAATTAGGAAATTCACTAAAAGGCACTGCACAGGTTTTGAGCGACCCGCAGTGGTCTAGAGCCCGAGGAAGACGCAATGGGGCAGGTATGTACACGAAGGGGGGATAAGTGGCCCAGGCCTGGGGATAGACGAGCACGCAATTCTGTGCGCTATCCCGATTGGGTGTCAAACACGGTTGAAATAGGTTTGTATTAATCTCCATAAGAGGCTGTGGTGAAGGTACCTTGTCCTGTGCAGGCCACTTGGGGGTGAGAGGAGGTAGATGTTCCACAAAGTAGGAGACATCATGACCAGTTAGATCAATCGTCACGCTCCCAGAAGGAAATCGGCCATCTCCAGGTGAGAGGTATGGAAGTGCCAACCACTGCGTTGAGTAGGCAGGGGAATATGGGACACAGAAGGGAAGTGTGACCGGACTAGGCGGATAGGATCCAGGAAGGAATACCATTGGACACTCAAGCGTATTCCGAACAACAGCTACTGGCACTGGAGTACGATAAGTTTTTCCGCTTATCTGTCCAGCCTCCGATACCTTGCTAAACTTTCCACAACCACTTGAAGGTTCAGTCGGGAGTGAAGACCCCAAAGAGTCTTGTTTTATTTGGCACCAACGTCGATAACGTCGGTTATTCCGGCGCCGTGGAGGTATATTCAATTTGTTTTGGGAAATTCCAGCTCTTCTAGTATCTAACGTATCAATGCTCTCAGAACTGCCCAAAGACTCGCTTCCCGTGACAACTGCAGAATCCGGTGAACTACAGTAGTCGACATCTGATATTAAATCTATCTTCTTGCATTCCGGCCACTTTAGGGACCTTGGTCTGGATCGAGACGCAACCTGATCAGAGGTAGTCCGATAGCGTTGAGTACTTTTTGGCTCAGGCGGACCGCTATCCACAAAACCTTGCATTTCACTGTTACCAGATGAGTTGACGGCCGCGAAGACTCGCAACTCAGGCCAATCCCTAGAGAATGTCTAACGCTCTCGGTCGTGGTCGTTTGGTTAAATACACGGCAAGCGTAAGGCGCTTACTGGCTGTATCCAGCCCAAGCCAATAGATTCGCGGAGGTTATCTGCGTCAGCCACGTTATTTAGCCAATCACAGAAGTCTGCCCTATTCACGTTGACGTCGAGTGATTACGCACGTGAGGAGCTAACACATCGAAGAGACTTACGCATATGGTATAAAATAAGGTGATGACATTAAAAGTGCTGCGCAAAATCATCATGCACTTCGATTCTGCGAGCAAACACCACTGACCCGCCCGGGTTCTGATGATCATTCGCTCGTAGGAGTGGTAATAAAGTCCTGATCCGAACACAAAGCAATGGAGGTTGTACTGATTCAAAAGGCCAAACGACTCAATAATTTTGGTGCTTGTTAAGTAAATAACATATTTTTCAGGTAGAACTACTATTCTTGAGTTGGGTCGAAGACTCTTAAATGACGAATGAACATCGAGATGGAAGTATCTCAACTGTTGTTTGTTTACGATTTTCGCAAAAGCTATGCATAAACTCATAGAAGCAGATTTTAAAGCATTTTTTAAGCTTCAATTCGAGCAGTAGAGTTCACATAGCAGACTTTCTGATATTGCTCCAAGGTGCTTTAGCAAATAGTTTTATGGTGTTCTATGCTAAGACCTTGCAGTGATGACAATGAGAAGCGAATTCCTGGTCATTCGTGTGTCGGGTTGAATCAGAATAAAGATTATAGTTTACCAATGTAGTATGCAAATGGGCTTATGTGGCGAGAATAAGGTCTCAGCGAAAACTCAAGCAAGATTGCTTGAGGGGTCGCAGCAAGCTGGGACACAACGTCTACTAACAGGAGGGAGTAGTAACTTTTATGAATTCCAAATTACAAAAGACAAAGTCACGACTTCTCAAGCAAACATGGCAAACCAAACAATTATGAGACACTGAAATGCCACACTTGAAAGCGCAGGAGCCGTATCTTAAGGCATCCGCTCATCTTGAGGCTGATGCCCCAGATAAAGGCGTGGCATCTGGATCAGTAATCCTAACACATGGGAAGCCAGTAGTCGTGACAATCCGGCTGAAGTGAAAACGGCATCAATGTCGAACTGTGCGATTGCATGTATTGTCAAACAGCACAGAGCGTATTCAGATACAACACGGAAATCAAAGAACAATATAACACTCACGCTGTCGCGAGTAGATGTCCAGATAATGTCGAACCAATCGCCGAACAAAGGGCTCAGTTCCGTCCCCATAGAGTGCAGCCGACTCCTGACTCAAGGGGTTATTCTGAAGATCTTAAAGACAGAACAGAAAGAAGCCAATGGTTGTCAGATCAACGATAGCCGCTAAGTCTTCCAGCCTTTTCCTACAAATACGTAAGCTTCATATCAACGAGGTACTGTTTTGTTCTGCTATCAAATACCTGTTACAGGGGTGAAATTGAAAGGTGTTATGCTGCAAATCAAAACTGCAGAAGGCCATGCTAAGGATGGGTATAGGACATTTGCATGAGGGAAACTGGGGCATATAGGACGCGCCAATACAAGGCAGCAATGTTGAGAAATAATGCAATTGAGAATATGAACCATCAAATATAGAGCTGAGTTTTATTGAATCGCGTGAACGACCTGCATAGGTGAGATCGTGACAAAAAATACCAATCACAAGTTTTAGGCGCCAGTAAGGGAAAAGAGGCAAGAACCAGCCTTGCTCAATGAGAACGATGGGAACTAGTCAAGGGTAAAATTATTAGTGAATTCGTTCCACCGACCGAGAAGGCACTCCTCATGAAGACGAAATGCTCTAAATTCTTTTGACACAAAACTATCGAAAATGCAGGTTTAGTGCTCCAAATTTGGTTATTTGTGAGAGGAGATGAAACGGATGGAGGACAACCCCAATGACCTAGCTTATAAATGATTGCACCCAGAAACGGACTGCGCAACCAAAGACCCTGGATTTTACCTAACTAATGCACACACACATACATACACACACACACACATCTGTAACCACAGAGAAACCTTTGAACCTCAATCGTTAATTTGAACTGCAATACTAAACCTTGCGACGTTGTGTAGCCAGTGCCTCTGACGGTAGTGTACTAATGTGGTTAAGAGAAATGTACTAATGGGAGGGAGGATGGGAGGAGAAAGAAGAGGAGGAAGAGAAGGAGGGTGGAAAGGAAAATTACGGGAAAAGTGGTTTTAAATGGGCAAATCTACTTTTCTAGGAGCATAACTACCTGGGAGTCTAAATAACCACCAGGGCGAAGGAGAACGTATGAGAAGGGACTTGCGATCTGTTGTAAGACAAATAAAGATCATATATGAACATAGATCGGTGCACGCACACGTCCACCCGACCAACCTCTTCAGTCTATCAGAAAAGTTTGAAATGAACTCCGGCTGGTTAAGCAGAAGATGGTATCAGGCCTCGCCAATAAGGAGAAGGCGATGAGCGCATCAAAAAAAACTTGCTGGAGAACTAACACAACGTTCGGTGGTCCCAGCATGTGCCACTATGTTTATACACAAATGATAACGGTAACAAAACAGTATAGGGCGGATCAAATTGATGGGCTGAAGCGACGTCTATTCACATTTGCCCTAGGGAGGGATGCAAATTAGCCAATGTAGTGGTTTGTGTAGTCGCTATGCCCACGAATACACACAAACTCGTCACCGATTCCAATTATAAATCATTGGTGGAATGCGATCACCAGATTAGGCTTTGAGTGGATAAGGGATGAAACATTTAGCTAGAACAGTGCTGCTACGTCACGTATGGGAAACGCTACAACAAAGAGAAACAAAATCCAAACTAGGGTCACAGTCCAACAGCACAAAAAGCACACCCTCATGCGTGCATAAATATCCGTGTTTGTTCGTACGCCTCGTCCAGTAAAGCTAACACATAACGGACAAATGTTTCCTCGATAAATTCATCCATATAAAGATAATGGGAGCAGAAAAGGAGCAAGGGAGTGGAATAAATGTCCTCAACTCCGTAATTTTGGTGAGCCCATAAAAAACGAGATCACCAAAACGTGAGAACATTGATTTGAAGGCTTGAATTGCAGGAACAAGCAGGCATCGTGCGAACGACAGCACGACCTACTCCAGAACCTGCGAGACCTGCATGTAATGGTACACATACGATTCTGTGCTCGACATGCGCATTTGTTTTCAATGTTGATCTTTACGTACTTTGTTGCATGTGTTTGAGATCAAGTGGTCAGTAGAACAAGGTAAAAACTGGCCAGATAGAAGCAGGTGGTTCATACTCTCCTTCGTGAATAAACAATAAGCAATTTCAGTTCACTAAGCCCACACATGAAACGTTTGGTACGATGCTTCCAACATGCCTCATAGAGACAGTCTCTGGAGTAACCTCACAAAGTCCAGATTTAAACATTCGTTTACTAACTGCCTCGGCTGTGGGAATGTGTTAAGGAAGATAAAACAAGTACCCAGAACCGGGAATAGGAGTAAAGTTACTGCTGTCCCTTCTTGCGGGAACATAAACTAAAAGAAGCAACGACTACAGCCAAATCACCCGATATCACCCAATACCATCAGCTTAGATGATTCGAACAGTGCGGTGCACAAATTCGCCTTTTATCGAGGAACACACACAGAGACGCATCTTGAGAGAGGTGATGACTGCCTGTCAGGGAGACAGGGCTGTGTAACCATGTCTGAGCCACAGGAATCCGACCCAAGCAAGAGAGAGGACATTCGCACAAACAGTGGCGTACGTGTATGTGCGAGCGACTGGGGTCGTTAATACGAGAACGAGGTCGTTTCTATGCCCGTCACGCTCGTATCTCCTCTAAGGACAAGGCCACAAATCCCAGCAACAAAATGTGACAGAGAAGACGTTTTACAGCCAGAGCTACGCATACATCTCCACTTCAAGTCGAAAATGGATGAAGCGCTAATCACCCACCAGTAATAATGAATTAGCTGTATAGTAGAAGGGTAGGCGACCACAATAACAATCACAGAAGTATCGTTCCAAGTCACATGCGATAAAACAACACAGGGGTAAGTCAATATATGAAGGAAAAGGATACTCGAAACAACATTGGAAATTAGACTCACTCAAGAACCTAAGGTTTAGTAGACGGGCAACCTCGAGGGGGAGATCCGAAATTTGATTATCGTTGAGAATCAAGGCTCGAAGATCGGTGAGTTCGCCAATAGTGGATGGCAAAACCCTTAATCGATTGTAGCTGGCATCCAAATTGACAAGATTAACCAAGTTTCCCAGTTCTGGTGGTAGGCGCTCCAAATGGTTATTCTTAATCACCAGTGTCGTGATGTACGTTAGGTAGCAGATGTTGCGGGGAAAATTTTTCAAAGGACCTAAAGGGGACCAGATGAAAAGAGGGGATTAATCCGTTTCCAGATTTAAGTAGCGTGAAAAAGAAGACAGCAACGATCTTATCGAAGTCAGTGGCAGTGATATCAGTCCTAGTATCTCAAAAAGTGACTCCCACTTATAAGTCAAATCACGGAAAACAATGACTTGTATCCAGTTTTATCATAATTAAACAATCAGTCAAACTTCGAGGAAGGACCCAGCGGAGACAGCATGAGAAGCATGTTACCGAATACGATTGTATATCAAGTGTGTACAAGTTTATTGTAACCCCGAGTCAGTGTTGCAAGTGAAATGAAGGGTTTAACAAAAGGTTTCTAAACATCATGAGTCAAAGTTAGGAGGATGTGCAAACAACACGCATTGCAAATTTACAGCAATAACCTGACAATGTTAACATGGCAATACTACTCTACCCAAAACGGCACTAAGCGGTTAAAAGATGCTGCGGGATGCCTGCGGTAGAAAGAACGACAATCTTAAAGCGCACCACAGGCATGCACATCTTGTGTGTCTATGTGCGTGTGTGAAATGTGCGTGGGAAATCCCGCACTCGAAACAATTTAGCTGTAGCACTGAAAACACTCATGTGTACACCCAATTACGATGCAGGGAATGTTCTCAAGCCCACTTGTTGACACATCTTACGGCGGAAGGATGTGTCCATACAAGGTGGTTCACCCGATCGTCCCCGAGACCCTTCAGAGCGCAGGCGAAAATTCCATGTTTCCTTCTGGATCCTGATTTCTCAAAAATGGAACGGACATTGCAGCTGGGGGACCACTGATACTGCGGAAGAGAGGTTGGACGAGAAATACTTTCCATGCTTTTGCTAGGATATTCGCATACTCCAGGCACAGGATTGCATGCTGCAATGCAGGTGGTCACATGCGCAATCACTGCCCGATGGACTCGATTTCAACCAATTTAGATTATGTGAACTTTGCGAGATGGCAATCACGATTGCGGAATAAGGGAGGTCATATTTAAGCAGTGTTCGATGGTATTAACCTAAGCGAAAGCGTCCGTTAAGCTTGAGGAATGATCTCTCAGTGCCATTAGTACTGTCAATACGAGTGATTCGAGGCTGCATAATTTACGAACGCAGAAATGATTTTATCAAATTTTCTGTCCATTTTTTTCAGTGCAAATTAAAGAACAGTATCACGACAAACAATGATAAGAAATGTCAAATGGTGATCGGGTATGCAAAACCGACGGAGCACTTCCATGTTTACATTGAACCGGAGTCAAATAAACCGGGAAGAAGTAAACCATCGCTGACTATGTAGAGTGAAAAGTAAGACCCAACAGATTCGCCATTGATTTGAGTGTAAAATCGGTCTACATATGTGAAACAACTCCTTTCGATTTATAAAAGCACAAAAAAGTCTCCGAACGAGATGCGGAGACCACGACTCAGTTAACGGAACGTATGACGACCGCGTCTTGAGACGCATCCAAATATGCATAACCTTCCAACGAGAAAAAGTATTTAAAATCACACAACATACATAATGCTGAATGAGTCAATTCACGTAGGAGAAACAAAAATAGGTAAAATAGACAGCTTGGGTTAATCCATAACTTGAAGAAATCAATTAGCTTTCGAAGGAACTTATGTCATGGATTTAATCGAAAAACGTCTAGCACGGAAATTTGGAGTCATTAAAGCCACCCAAACATAATAGGCAAGGGAAGATGTCAATAAAGGGGAACCGGTCAAATTAGATTATATATCGAGGTGCTTTGCAAAGAAACAGCATTTTGCCATTTTAATCATGCCACTCAATGTCAGATGAACACTCAATGCCACATATTGCGCGCAATGCGATTCGAAACCGAAAGCTGTACGCAAATGCCTTCCACACCGCGCGTGCTTAATTGCGCCGAATAACCGGAGAACAAAAGGAATTTAGTGATCAATGAGAAACAAAAAAACTTGGAGTGTGCACCAAACAAATGAATGGATGCCTCCACATGAAGAAATGTTTCGCAAAAGAAGTGATCACTAGCTGAAGAGAAAAAAACGTACCTGTGAGGTTGACGCGAAACCATCTAGCACGATTCCTAGCTTCCTCCTCGGTTATGAGGCGTGACTGCATAGTGAACTCATTTAGGTTGTTTGAACGTCGAACCGGAAAGGAGGAGGGTGTGTTGAGGACCTGAAAACCAGAAAAAACGGCGCAAAAGACCGTTAATAGGACCAGCTAATCTCATGGGCCTTGACCACCGGCGCTACTGCTCACAAGCCCCGATGCGCACTCAGTAAAAGATCGATAATGGTAACAGCTGTTTGCCTCCACCCCTCGAACCCGCCTCCGCCACCATCACTATTCCAGGACTAACAGTGCTCGTTACAATCGTGGGATCCGGAAGTTATGGTCTTTTCGACGCTGAGAGGGCGTAGCCTAGCAACCTTATGCCACTTAACGGAAAAGATGGTGTGTTGCAACAACAGAGGACAATCCGACACCTCGGCGGTGGCGTGGTTTTCAAATGCCTTCAATTTCCCCAAAATTTCAATGTGGTCGCTTATAACTCTGCGGTATTATCGCCACCTTAAAACCCGATGACCACAAAGCCAGCCAACTAGTAGTTATAAAACAAAGGGAAGTGGATAGCTTTCGACACGTTATACTTACGTCAGAAGAGTAAATCGTTGGACGGGGAGGCATCTAAAATGTGAAAAAAAAACAGGATTCCAGTACACTCGTTAATATAGGGGCATACACCAATTCCGACAAAAATAGATACGCCTCAGGGGAGATAAATAGTAGAAGACACAATGAGCCAGTGTCAAAGGAGCAACACGAATGTATCCAGATTTCAAGAAAGTGATTAAACCAAATAGGCGAGTGCTGAGGCAACATGAAGAAGTAGGTGAAAGCCAGGCATAGTGATTCCAGTTAGCACAAAATATGATATGAATTCAACTCATCAAAGTTTGAAAGTTGGTACGAAACAGAGTTCAAATAGATAGAGGACAGTGGTCTAACAATACGATAAAGGCTCGAAATGCAGTAAAGATGTCATGGTGCCAGAAAAAACAAAAGAAGCAGCTAAGTCATGCAGTGACCAAATTTCGAGTGTAGATTTAAAGGAAAAGGCAAGAGCGTAGAAAAAAATTAAGGTGAAGACAAAGTTAACATTATGGCTTCAAAAATCGGTGCCGGCCTGTGACATGGCCTAAGGACAAAATATCTTCCAAGGACTCCTCAATCTAACAGCTAGGTACAAAATAACCTCAGCCTTCGTTGTGAATCGCAAAAGTGCTTAAATTGGCAATCAATACCATGCAGGGAATTACTATGGCGCGGCGTAATGAAAGGAATCCAGATAATGGCACTTAAAAATCGATGTAGTTACAAAAGATGTGCTCCAAAGACGAACCAATAGCTGAATAGTGAAAATGAACAAACGAAAAAGCCGTTTCTCTTTCGACCGTAGTCGGTTCACCTACGTCTGCAGGTGCACCCGCAAGAGGCTTATGAAATAGCCAAGATTCCGAAGTAAACAGTGGCCGCCTAATTGTGAGTAAATTGAAAACTGTATCAAAGCTACAAGGCACAAGAGGCAGAGCGCACTTACTTAGGATTACCCCCAAATTCCTGACAATGAATAAAAATCAACGAAAACACAGTCCGCGGCTTGCTAAATGAAACGTTTGAACAAATCTAAAGTTCCCGTCATTTAATGTGAAAACTAGGTTGTGCAATTACAGCGACAAAGCTTAAATACAAATGAATTAATTAACAAAGTCCGTTTTCAGATTTCGATTCAGTGATATTATGAATGAAATAGTATTTTAAAGGCGGAATGTACATACATCATGTAGTAAAATGGTGCATACACATAGTACCAAAAATTCTAAAAGGCGGATGACTTTGTCATTAAGATTAACTTAAGTTCTAGCTTCATTAGAAGTTACTTCAATTCAGGCTGCTGCAATGGTGCAGCATTTCGATTCGTACATTACGCATTTTATTGTCTCGTGCATATCCTGCGACTCGCTTGCCTATTGCTCCGCACTGCAATATACCTGCCAATGTGTTCAAGTTACCTCTACAAATGGGGGATGAACGGTTATTTTGAACACGAATCCCGTGCATGAGGAGCATTAAGGGCCATCCGCGGAGTAACGCCGGATCGTCGAATTATCAGTAAGTACATGATGGATGTGTAGGGGTCAGTTGCACACGTATAGGGATGAGCCCAAGACATTGTGTTAGGTCTTATGTTAGCTTTTGTAGTGAATTGTATGGTAACTTTAAAATCAAAGCACTTTATGGGGTGCTGTGATCAGAGGAGGGTAAATATTTTTTAAGGAAGAGATTAGCGCTCAGATGTTGTTTGTTTTGAAGCATGACCCCTTCAACTCGGGAGTCGCGTTCGAATTAACGTTAAGCATCCATGTTTTAAGGTACTGTTAGCAAAGTGTCCCGGACTTCTCATTTGGTAATGGAAGGTTTTAAGTGGACTCAGGGTCATCCCGCCTGGCGGAAGCGACTTGACCTCTAGCTCTATAGGCAGTGGGACGAAAAAAGCACCGTAGTAGTAATTTGTATGAATAGTCATAACAATTGCATTTGTTTTGGTAGCTGCACTGACTCTACTGGGTAGGCTGGATTACAGACCACAATAAGAGCAATATAGCATCGTCTGCAATACGCTATTCATATTACTATCTATATGACTGGCATTTACATTAGTATTGGCCTTGCTCCTGCACGTATAGGTTCTACTTCTCTTCGAATACATGCATTCAGCTTTATCAAAAGCCTTTCTGCATCTAGTAGAAGCGGAATGCGAATCAAACTTTGTTTTAGCCTTGTTTGTGATACATACCATGTATCATAATTGTTATTTTAACGCGAATCCCGTAATTAAAGAACTTAACAAACCTTTTTTGGAGTAAGCTGGACACTTGTGGTAGCAAAACCCAGATTTCCTGTGTTCTGTTCGTATGCTTAAGAAAGCTTCTCAGAGCGATCCTCCACTTAAGCAGTTGGAAAAATTGAGTCTGAGAATGGGGTGGGAGATCACTCACCATTTTTAACGTCGACAGTTTGTAAATACTTTTGCGGTGCGAGCGAAGCGCATAGGCTGTGAAAGGGAGATTGCTTGAATTCTTCAAAACAGAAGGGTTGAGAATGGCTTTAAAGGTTCAGTTTAACCTCATTCCCCTGTCTCGCAAGTAAGCTGCTAATACCCAAAGTGGCGCCGCCGTAAACAACCTAAAAATTTTCGTACCGGATTTTCCTTTATTGTATGGGCATATAAGTTTCGACGATGGCATTACGCTAAAACCTTCCCATATAGGGAAGTCTTTGGTCCCGTTTTTCCTCGTAAACATACGTTTTAAACCTCTTTAATAAAGTCTGGTTCCTTACTACGGTCTTGTTCCCTAAGACCGAACATAACTCGAGATCCAGTTTAGGCTGTTGAGACAGACAAGCCCAGCGTCTTGTTTGCATAGTAGTTGATGACTAGTGCTCATGGCGTGTGGTTATTTTCTTTTACACCGAACATGTTTTGGTAGCTGTCACGGAGAAAGTATCAAGTGGGGCGTCAACGATGTCGTTCAGCAGAAAATAAGGACAATGTAATACTTTGCTTATATGAACATCTCTACAACTGGTCGTAACTTTGCTATTTGTTGTAATATATGTTTATGCGTCTAAATTGGCTTTATAGGAGACAGGGATGTGATGTCCTGTTCATGTGATTGTTTATGTGACCACATGACTTTTGGCGACCACTTTAGGATTTGTCTGGCCCTTCGGGCCATGTATCGGCTCATTTGCTCTGTTCCCTTCGGAATACATGTATCCAGCCTCACTCACTGCCTGACTTCCATCCTAGGGAAAGTCTCGGGAACCTACACGAAAAAGGACGGATTAGGCTGTGATTTGGCTACGTATGCTAGGGCAAGGAAGTTTCCCTACGAAATCCGTGCATAGGTGTTGGAAATGACACTAAAGTTCTTCTTATATACGAAACAGAGTTCTGCCGTCTAATCCTGGAAGAAGTTGGCGGTCAACATATGTATGCAGCCCCAAATCTGATTTTTAGTCCAAACGTAACTCCAGATCCAGTTAAAACTGCCGAGGAGACCAAGCACGGTTCCTTAGTTTGTAGTAGCTATCGGCTTTCGTAGTTGGCTCGTGGTATACTAAAGGGAGTGCCAATGACATCGCTGTAAATAAGAGGGGTAGTGTAATACTGTTATGCACCCAAACGACGTTTGGTGGTCACTTTAGGATTTGTCTGGTACTCATACATGTGAGCTGGCCTTCGGGCCATGCATCCAGCTTCGTTTACTGCCTTCTTTCACCCTGTGAGAAGTCTCCGGATGCTAGAAGACGGTTAGACACTCCGAACATGAATCCGATTCTTAGGAAGCGGGAAGATATCTATGGGATGACATTAACTCATTGTCTCATCGATACCGTCCTTTTACTTCCTGTGCAAAATACCGAATAAACCTTCAACCAACTTTTTTATGAAAACAGAGTTTTTAAAATCTAAGGGTAGGATGAAAGATCCTGAATTTGTCTTGCTCATGTGTACGTAAGCTGGCTTCCAGATCATGTCGAATCCACGTCTCTTCTCTTGGGATACATGTACTCAACTCAACCTGTTTTCCTCTATCTGGAGGGAAATTGCAGGACCCTACTGTAAGAGCTGCCTGTCTACCATCTGGGCCCTGATCCTAAGACTTAAAGAGGCAGTTGGTTGCAGACGATTTATTAGGTATTGTCATTAGGAAGGATGAGGAATAGGATACAGATGAGGTGAGTAGAAGATATCAATTGGAGGGAGACTCCAAGCCGACTTCACGCACGTGGTTCGCGTTCCCAATTGGCTCCCGCCTCTCACCTATCAAGGTCCACTTAAACAAACTGGCATATATTGCACCTACAGCTATATGACCCAAAATTCTTTGGCATATGTTCAAGTCGACTAATTTCAAGCCAGTTCTGATTCCTTCTGATAATTCTAGCAAGTGGCATCGAATTCATATTATTACGACTTTGTTTTGGTACAAAGGGCTCTGTAGCTATAGATAAACATAATTTCGAGAAGTTTAGCCTTCCTCAGAATTTTTCGAATTTTCAGCTCATTTTATAACTACTATTATATTATTCTTAATAAACACGTTTATATTGACCAAGGTGTTTGCCCACTTTGAAATGAATAGCTTTAATCAAGGTTGTTAAGGGTGGCTGATAGCTATGTCTTGATCGAATACTGTATTTCATTTAGGTAATATTTGTAGTAGAAATACCTCTCCCTCATATCTTCATTGTAAATTCCATCAACATCTAAAGCAATGTGTCCAGCTCTTCGCGTTCCGATTAGGACTTTATCCCGTACGTCTTTAAGGTAACGTCTTGTCACATTTTAATACATCATTAAAGGCTCATCTCGACTAAGAGCCAGAACGATATCTGTGACGTCGAACCTCACTCAATTTCGAATAGTGAAATGGTAAATGAGCTTACTTCTATTATCTTTAGAGTTCTGATGGTGATAGTGTTGTGGTGCTTTCTTGCACCCCTAGTCAAGAAAGCACCGATGGTAACGAGCTGTCAAATCAGTCAAGAGAATTGGTCTCAAGTGAATCTCTAAGTCATAAACAGTCTTCAAGAGCACCGTCTGTGGCTTCCTCATCGACGGATCACTCGCAAGTCTTTCCTAAGTCTTGCCAATGGGCCGGCTGTGATACTGGTGCCGATGTTGGGCCTGGCGGATTACTATCTCACATTCAGGAAGCTCATGTTTTACCTCAGCTTTCGAAAAAGACTCGTTACACATGTTTATGGAGTGGATGCAAGGTTTATGGTCATCCTAGTGTCTCCTCCAACTGGCTGTCGCGTCACGTGCAGGAGCACTCAGAGGCCAAAGGCAAACCGTTCTCGTGTATATTTGATCGATGCTTCCAGCATTTTTCTTCTTCAAGTCTACTCCAACGCCACATTGATCGTGACCACATGCGTTCTAAAGTGGGTGATGTGGCTCCCGTAGCTAAAGGACTGTCATTCTCTCAGTCTGTATCCGAGTCTCCAGCTAGTGGAAGTAGAAATCTCGCCAACTTAAAAAGCTGCACTCGAAGGATATCGCGGAGGAAACGGAAATTTCGATTTTGTCGAAGTATTTTTAACTTAATTTTTAATGTGTGTGATATTCTACAAAGCAGGGTCGTTATTAGTCTGCTTAAAACTTCTTATTCACTTCGGTATTTTTTAGAAAATCATGTTTGAATTTAATTATGATTCTTTTAATATCACTTAATTTTTACCGACAGTATTACTATAAATTTGTGCTATCAACAGGCCATAATTTATTCCCTTCCCAGTTAGACACGTGGACTTCTACGATGCTAGGTCAAAGATAATAATAAAAAATCGGATTGTTTTGGATAAGCTCCTTGCTGAGCGTGCCATCGAAAGCCTTATCCGGCCATCTTCACCCTCCATCTCGGGTGACGTCCCTCTCTCTCCCCTCGTGGCCTTACCAGGGCCCATCAGGGGCGAGAACCGTGATCAGATCTCTCCCGAAAAGCGCATCTTGAGGTCCACATCTGCGACGATTTCGGGTGACGCCTCTGCCTTATTACCTCGACCTGCAAGCAGGCCCGAGAGCTATCGCGTTAAGCTTCTACTCACTATTCCTCATACTGTAGGTTCATTCAACTATCCTAGTGCTATCTTTGATTAGTTTTTCCTCGCCAACTGTGCACCACTCGCCTAACGTATAGTTCTGTCACGTAACTCCTGTGATGATTGTAAATACTCATTCTTTGAATGTGCCAATCCATAAATTTTGTTCTCGCAACTTTGGATTTATATGGCCTTAGCGTTTTTTCAGGAGTTGTGCAATTGCTTTTGTGCTACCAAGTAAATTGAGTGTAGCAATAAATTGGGTTGTGGTGCCATGACTCTAAGGTTTATACCACCATTTCGTCGTCGTTCATTTACCCTATGGAAGGAATATGGCAACCTGTGGATGCAAATTTTGCGTGAGGGTGGGCATACACATCGTGTACGTGCTTATCATATGTTACCTCCTTTTGAACAGAGATTAGCTTTGTCACCATAATTGTTCAATATGCACACACTTTTGGAGTTTCAATGCCAATTCCTAACATGGTGGCCGTTAAGTCTCATTATGCTCATGTTCTGAGGGGAAGCGATTTTGAATGAAAGTATTTGACGTTCTAACTTAGACCTTCCTTTATTTGTTTGAGAGATAAGCCAAGTCAGCCAAATGAGTCTGATTCACCACGAATTTGCTCTCCTAAATATGAGTTTTCTAGCTGTTTTATCACTGGTAGTATGTTTGACGGTGTAAAACAAGCTTCAAATGCGGTTTTGCACAACTTTTGTGTTTTGTGACACATTTTCATATGTTCCGAAACGCAGAACCTAAAAATATAAACTTGAAGTTGAATTGTGAGAGTGGTCATGGGAATGTGTGTGGAGCAACGTCACTCACGATATGGGTGTGTTATGCTTATCTAGTGGTTCCCGCACAATATCGAAGCTTCCACTCAGCCTCAAACCTTATTACCTTTTCACATTAGTGACATCTAGAGATTGTGTGATATCGCGTTCCATCTGTGGTGTTCTCTAGGTGATGAATCGTAAAGGGTTTTTTTATTTTTTAGTATTATCGCACTTGATTGACCGCGTTAACGGAATCATTGAGGGTAATCGAACTCATTGATACTTCTCTATCTTGGCTGCTAAACGTCAATCGTCTAATCTTTGCTTTCCAAGATCGCTTATGCTTTTAAAATGCACTTATTTTTTAGCATAAGTTGACGTAATAGGAGTGGCCTATTTGCGTCTGTCTCTCATACATGTATGAGGATAGCATTTCCACTTTCTATATTCCGATGTGCAAAATGAACTATTTTTGTTATGCTCCTCCACCTCCTCCCCTTCCAAAGCGTGATGGTGTAATCTTGCACTGTTTTGCATATTGACTCGGCTTTCTGTAAGATGGGTTAAAGGTATACTACAATGAAAATTTTCTGAACAGATTGCCATTCGTTATCGAGAAACAATTGAAAGCAGTTGCGAATGTCTGCGCTACCTGACCATTTTGTTTGATGCCATTAGTACATCCAATTTGCAATACTCGGGCTCCATCAAACGCACTAGTAGGTAATTTATAACCCCTACTTGATACTCTGGTTTCCGTAGCATTGTGGCGCACAAGTGTGCATAGGCGTGTGAAACTTTTGACCTCAAACCCTACCTCCCTCCGTCGAAGTTTCAATTGCCTCCAGTTGAGTTTTAGCGAGAAAAGGGTTGTCTAAGCCATTTTCCTCTGTCCCGGTGCACTTGAGTGCGCCGCTTGGTTTGTGGAAACTTATAGTGGAGGCCAGAACGTCTTTCGCTTGTGTTTTTTCAAACAAATCTAGGGGACACTACACGCCTCCCGTTGCATGGTTCACCCATGCAGGTGTCAGAGCTCAGACATCCCCAATGCTTATCAAGTTATAGTACTTTATTTCGACTATTTCGAAAGAAGCTCTTTTATGTTGTTTTTTTTGAATCCTGAATGAGCGCAATACCTTTTATAAAACAATAGAATCACCAATTGCGGGGTAAAAATCTGGGAAGTCCTTAAAGCGGCTGGATTGTACTTCGTCCTACTCGAAAATTTTGTCCAATGTTCTCTTTACTTTCTCTTTAAACAGTTTGTTGGCCAAAGATTAACTCGGGAAAACAAGACCGAATACCTCGTGAAATGGCAAGGCGATCTGTGTGCGAAGTGAGTTTTTAGACCTTTTTCGCTCTTCCATTCTTCACTGTTGGCGCTGTTTTTTCCGTCTTTAAACTCACTTTGTTCCATTAATACGTCATTGAAGGTTTTACTTATTTGAAAGCGCTATTGAACTCAGAAGCGATCTTGTCTGCAAATTCTACATGTGTAGCAATTTTGCTTTAAATCACTGGAGAATGGAGCTTTTTGGCGTGGGCTTTAGCTAACAATTTTGCGGCGTAAGGATAGGATGTGTTGAAAACGGCAATTTTGTTGCTACTTGCTTCGCTCAAATAAATTTGCGTTTGTGGTGTGCTCATTCAACTGAATAATCTAAACGAATACCAAATAGAAAGTAAGGATGGTAAGCTAATTTTAGACATTTAGTCATACTCCAGTCCCTTCTCTTGTTCCATTGCTTACCAATTCTCGGCTATTCCATTTCCCATCTGGAAGTAGGGTTGGCTATCGCAGTTCTCAGACATATTACTGTCTGAGGAGATTGGCTTTACCATTCAGCCAGTTATAACCAGCCCAGTTTCCGTAGCCTCGCACCTACGTTCGTGTGCTCGCATGTGTGGGTTCTGCGTCCAAATTCCGTGCCGTCAGCGATGCTGTGTATCAAACCTTGCATCAAGCTGTCGTAATACGATTCAGGAAAGGGCTGATGTTTTCGTGTCCGAAATCGAAATCGGATTTAGCTATTCAGAATTTGAGGCCCGCCTACTAAAATACCACCTCGGGTACGTTTGTAGGTCGTGGTGTGTTGAGCCTTACGTGGCAGAAGTCATACTTTGGGTGGTGAAGTGGTGCAGAGACAGAATCGTCACTGCTGACACAACTGATGCTTGAGCGTACTTGACTCAACATGTTTCTCACTAATTAATCGTGTTCACTGAAACATTTTAACTGCTTTGCTGCAGTAATTAAAGGCTGGTTTTCAGTCTCATTCTTCGAGATGCTGACTTGATCCCTTAGGTTTATACTTTTTGTGTCCTAAAATTTCTTGCTTTACTTCGTAAATTTCAACTCCTCAAACGAACCTGCAGGTTATTTGGTATTCATCATAAATTAAACTTGCCAATTGAATCTGACCATCGTTGCTTGCTCCATTAGCATACCACCAGTGATGTGGGTCCTCGAAGAGGAGGTTCGTGCAGCGACTGCGTTGGACAAGCTCTAAGTGCTCGCCATTCATGTGTCTCCTGCCTCTCGCTCCTCGTCCGTTGGTGTTGCGGACATGACCTGTGCAATATGAAGGGACAAATTGAGCTGAGGCCTCAGTGATAGGATTTTCTCTAGGACCTCACTCCCACATCCTTCCTTACCGCGGCTGTATAAAAAACTTGCTGCTCCTCGCTGTTTTTTGCTTTGTTTTTCCATCTTTCATCCTGTTTTTTCTTTCTATTTTCACATCTGATGGTGTTGCATCGATCCACCAGGCTATGCCAAAGCGCATTTCTCTCCTTTTTCCTCTCCTTATTCTTTGAGACTCTTCAACTGACTATGCGTTCACTGGCCTGTACATAGTGGACTTACCTAGGAATGAATCCTCAATATCTTTCCTTTCCTCGATGAATAATGTAAACGTGGATGTGTTTGTATCGGTAAGTGTGCGTGTGGGTCTGTATGTGTATCGTCCTCAATCAAAAGGGTGTGCGTGCGTGCGTGCGTATGTGTGTTTAGTTTATCTTCTAAGTGCTTTTTACCCACATGACTAGGTCTTTTCTCTTGTTATGCACACAAACGTTTCAATGTGTCTCAATCTCATGGTCTTCTCCGAAGTCTACAATACATGGATTAATGCTCTGGCCTCTGCGTTTTGCCTTCTGCTCACCCGAGTGGAAGTAGTTCGGCTTGGGTCACTATTTAAATGGCACAATCTTAACGTGAGAAATGGACGTCTCGATGGTTTTACGAGAATGTGGCTGGCACTTCCCCGCAGTTGTCACTCCTACTCCTTTTCTGATGGCTGGCCACGCAAAGTGATGCGTCGGTGCAATATTCTGGAACTGTTTGTTTGCCTCAACCTGTGGTCATTCGGAGCCATCATCACATAGCGAGACTCCAGATCGTTACGAAATGGAAGTTTGAGCTTTAATTGATTGGTGCTTACTTTGAACGGGATGTGCATCTGCAGATGGGAGCGAAATCCACCTCAATGAAATATGTGCCTTTCTTCATGCTTGCAAACACGCTCAGTGTGATGGTAAGTGTATTTGTTGCCGTTCTTCAAAGGACTACAATCAAATTTGGTGTTGATTTTGAGATGTACTTCTAGATGATGACACTTGTTTTTGCTTTGCGAAAAGCTATTACCCGCTGTCTCTTTCAATTCGTCACATGCTGAATGATTGGGGCGCTTCTTGCATATGCAATGTAGAATTTTATATCGCCCTGGTCGCGAATTGTCTATTCATTTTGCTAATTTCAAGCCTAGTAGTGAGCATTTCAGAGTAGGCACAGGTGTGCCAGTAACTCATCTGCTCTTTGACTACTTTCACCTTCTGGAAGGCGGGCAAGTGAAGTGCAGGCAGGTGACACACCCGTCACTGTGGATTCTCATATGCAACCTACGCCTCAAGTTGTCAACCTGATTCAAACGTGGAGCGGATTAGAGTTGTTAAATGTCTCAGTTGAAAGAGCGGAGGGACTGCAGAGCGGCACCCGTATAGCACAGGAGCAGGTAAGCAGTAGCAGCCGTCCGCTTCTGGGGTGTGGAACCGACGCGGTCAGGCCGGCTGAGTCATCGTTACATTTCGCGCCACGGTCGTGTGCGTACGTGCGTATTCTCGCGAGGGCGCACGTGGCGGTGCCGGTGTGCCCGTGCATCAACGTTTGGGGGTGGGTGACTCATCGATAAACAGGTGTGGCCCAACGTGGCTTGAGAAACGCAGTCAATACTGGCGTCGCCACAATCACTCACGCTACATCGATTTGTTCCTCCAGCTCACCTATGAGGCACAGTGCTCCTCTAAATTACAACCCTAACATGGGTAATGGTGTTCTTAAAGAATGCGTTTGGCCGTTTTACGCCCAAACGAAAAGCTGGGATCTGGAGAGCCTGTATGTGGCCCGTCTTCTTTTGTCAAAAGTTAATGATACTGCAAACCAAGCACGAATCTCTCTCCATTATGGCAACAAAGCGACTGTGCGTCGGCCTAGTACTTCCGGATGGATTCAGAGTGAATTTGCCACTGTTCCTACAAGCGCGGCCTCTTGTAGTCTCGTGTACTTTAAAAAACCATTAGGTTTCCAGACACTCGGTGTAGTGGGAAGGTTGCATTTGGCTAAGGTTTTATAGCACAAAGAAGACTCCCTGAAGAACCTCTGATTCGTGTCCCTTCTTCAAATTGACCGACTCCGTGAGGTTATAGGGTCAAATCAGTGAATTGCAGTCAGAAGAAATTAGATTGTGTGGTATGACGGTCGGTATATGGAGGTGAGGCCGATACCTTCACATCAAGGTCAGCCTCCGACGCGTTATTTTGTGCAGGCACTAGTTACCCAGATGTGGGAGTGGCTGAAGCGGGTGTGGGAGTGAGTTTTTTGGTTTGCTGCAGCACGGCTAATTAAATGCCCACGCCATAAACTGGTCGTAAGTGATTAACTCGTGTCGATCGCAAATCGAGGACTTATTTAAATAAATATAGTCTGAGTTTGTAAGACTAAAATCACAGAGTTCGCTTTAGCGAGCAATGAGGCATATCGTTTTGGCGTCTAGTTTTACTTTTTACAACTGAAGATCAAGCTTTCCAATGGATGAATTTGCCATGCAACGGTAGGTCAAAGTTTCCGCTTTTTAGCCATACGAATGGACTAAGGCAGACTATTCCCCCTCGAATTCCATCATCGTGCGGTGTCTAACCAGCAGGAGTCGAACGCCGCATCAGTCCACAGACTTCGTCGGTCGCGTTCATTTGCCATCTACTGCAAGGCTGTTTCTTGTGAAGGGCCGCGCCCCAAAGTACTCCATGCGACTTCCATTTCCATTGGCAGAACCTATTGGGATCAATTTACGAGTGAATTCTTGTCCAAAATTTATTTATGGACTTCTGCAATGGGCATTTTAGCTGGTGATGCATTCTACCTCTTTCATCATTCAATGACAAAAGTGGAACTCAAACATCTGGGATCGAAGCAGCGGATCCTTCAACGGGAAAAGTCTGTCGAAAAGAATGGAAAGTTATCGGCAAATACGTTAACTACCATTTCATATTGCTCGGCAAACTAGCGTGCACAGGGAAACGTCAGTCCAGATTGCGCTTTCGAACTTCTGAGTGTCCAAGAGACTGACCAGCATGAAGTAGGTGGATTGCAGTGTAATTACTCAACGCCGATCGGTGTAACAAGCATATGAGCTATGCGATTTGCTTCTCGCTTCGTGTAGGTGGAATAATTTATTGTACCGATGGTAAAATGACATAAGTAGCGACACACATCTTAAAGAGGGTAGGAACAGCCCCTCGACTTAGGAAATCACTGCCATTTGGCAGATGAAAATGATTAGCTCCCACCTATCCTTAAGCACTTGACTAAAACTTATGCTGAAGCGCTCCATGGCTTTGAAATGCGTTGTTTAAGCAGCAATAAAGTGCGTGTAGTAACGTTCAGCCTGCCCTGGACAAGACCTCCGGTAAGCAAGAAAATCGAGACTCTCTTAGACCCACCCTAGTGCTTGCCGTTCCTTAAAGGTGTTGGGAGTAAAATATACAAGAAGGAATGGCAATTGTGCACTTCAAAATCTGGGAAAAAAGAAGCGAAAAAGTAAACTAACAAGGCGAAATGACTCTATTTTTCAACAAACAAGGTTATGTAATAACTTAGGTAGTAATTAGAATAGCAGATGAAATAACTTCGAAAGAGGTGGTCCCGATGATCGCGAAATATTACCTTAATCACTTGTGGATTTTACAAATGCTGGTGGTCCATGTTGAAAACAGCTGCAGGAAAACGAGTTTCTTCTCCGAACTCTGGTTTTGGTCTCCTTCTTGGTGTCAGTGTGTTCAGCCGACACAACTGCCTTCCGAACAGGTGTCTTATGACTGCCTAACCAAAGGGGAGAGTAACAACCGACACCGACGATTAAAATCTGCATTAATGATGTTATCCTACAAATGTTTCTTGTCCGAAAAACCATCGATTTACCTTGGTTGCTTCATACCTGGTAGGCAGGATGAAGAAAAGACACGACTTTTGTATGTTCCAGATTCACATTTGCAGTTTCTCATCCCCAAACTCCACCAGTGAAGTATGTCGCCTCATAGCAATCACGTTAACATTGAAATTCGGTGCTCTCTTCCGTTTTAGTCCCCCGTCTGTGAATGCTGTTTTGGATGCTTCGTACATTTAAATTAATTCCCTTCGTTGCACATCCCAACACCCTAAAGACTAACTCAAATTCCAAAGGACGGTAATTCTTCCATGATAATTAATAGCACTTAAGGCGTGGCTTAGATTACTGAGGCAGCATCCGATTTCACATCGCACCTCCATGCACACTCATGAGTAATCACGTTTTCTCGCAAGAAGAGGTAAAGGTGCCCTCAGCTAACCCCAGTGGAGGATTGCAAGTCCGCTAAAGGGCTCCAATCTGAAAGCTCCAGAAAAGGCAGTGCACAATGCTTGTTTTAGATGCAACAACATCGCCAAACGCATCTTTAAAATCTTTTCTCCTGAACAAGTGAACATTTAAAGTGGGGACCCAAGTTTAGGGGCGACGCGTTTCGCCGTCTTGCCCTTCGTTAGTGTCCTGGTATTAGTCCAACAGAGTACAGCAAAACAGTTTACTAATTTTGTCAAAACTGTAGCATCAGTAATAGTGAAGAACAAATGTAGCTGAGAAGTAAGCGTTCGCACATTGATCAAGTATGGGCTTATCAAGACAAAGGGCGAACATTCTCCTCGTAAATAACTGAATTAATGGTCACTTCGACAGTCCTCTCTTTGCAGGTCGGATTGCGGAACTAAACGAATTAGAGATTTAGAAGCAGAAGTCTGGCTGGAGGTAAGCTCTAGACCGGGGGAGGAAGAAAGCTAGAGCCCACTCTCGAGGGAAGGCCATGCATGAGCAGGCGAGACACAGGCGTCTATTAGCGAGCCTAACGCCACACTGATTGGTTGGAGCGAGTTAGTGACCTTGAAAGTTCGCAATACGTTAGCCACTGCATCGACGCGCGTGCGTGCGCAGGTGGATGTGGCGACAATAAGGTCTTTCTCCGCCTCTCTCGCCATCCTAAGTTTCGTGCCCGGGCGCAAGTCCTGGAGACTGGTGCTAGGCAGCACTCCGATTATCTCAGAACGCTTCACAAGCCATGCGATTCTTGACATGTAGGTGAATCGGTTGCACATCGATGCCAATAAGGTAGGAGATTGGTAAAACCACCTTATTCTAGTACAAGACCAAGATATGCATTGCTCTGTTAGGATTCGTCCTGTTACTGATTCCCATTTCATATTTTGACTGAACCACAATCCTGTCCTGAATCGCAAAATTGGTTTAACTCTGTCCAGTGAGCTTTCGTAAATATGACGAGAAAAATTATTCAAGGCTTTGAAAACAACGAAAATCAGCTATTAGCACAATTTATTTTAATAACAAGTTTCACCAAATCAAACCGTAAAACGATTATGAGTACACATACTTGGAACTGCTTAGTTAGCCAGATATGAGACTGAGCTGATGATACAGGCTAATATTTACGGGAGTCATAGAAACTTGGAAACCGAAAACACAAACATTGCCGGTAATTTACAGTTCTTCAATCTTTCGGTGGTTATTGTAATGGAAAGTGGTTTCCATTTTCATTTAATTCGCATCCTTTGTTTGAGAATGATAAGAAATAAAACCAATTTTTCAACAGTGTAAGCAAAGGGGTAATACTGAGTTTCGCCAGTGCCAGGAACACAAAAACTACATCTGACACCAGCGAATGCGATGCGTAAACTAAGCGTCTACTACCGCGACAGTGGCGCATAGAAGGCCCACCGCGTCAAACGACACTGCAGTTTGTGGTCTAGTGCTTTAGCTACGCTACACTATAACAATGAAACCGTGTCCGTTTGACGCTGGCCTTTTGTTAAGCTTCTCCAATTTTCTCAGGTTTATCTAGTTTAAGCTTCATGGGCTCAATACTGGTTCGTACAAAAATTGATCCACAAGAAAGCTCTCACTGAAGTAAATATTTGGTTTGAGAGAATGTAACTCGTCCTATTAAGACTAAGAGTAATTTCTTCTCTAAAATGTTGCTGTGCCATTGACAGCCTTAACAACAGGAGGGACTGTGGTTCTCGGACAGAATGCACACGTACCCAAGAAGTTGGAGCTGCTGAAAGGCTCCAAAGGCCATCTCACTTGGTGAATGATAGATCGCTAACCGAGATCACGTATCTGGAATTGGGAGTTAAACAAACAGCGGGTTCATTGCAATGCTGTAGCGAAAGGTCTTTAAGCCAGCATTGCAAGAGACGCATTATCCAGCCAGAGGGTTTACAAATCCAATACAATTAAGCTTACTTTTTTTCATTTAATCCAGGTTAGTGACAAACCGTCGGCAAATGCCAACGTATTCAATGTACTATCTTCCATTACATTGAATTTCGGTAACTCTAAGGACGGAAAATGTATGATTCCTAACCCCACTTTCCCCTGGATTCAAGAATTCGTTGACCACCCGCCGGGTGGGCCATCTACTATTTATACCAGCATGGTTCAGAGCACTGGTAAATGACAATGCGCATTCAATGCTACAAGAACCTTTAGTTTTGATAGTAAATTGGTAAATAGTTTAACAATATGACTTATATACTGTCACATCTTACTCAAATCGCGATGGAACCCCTTTTGGTTGGTCTTGGCCACGTATTCCACCAAATCAAGAAAAACAGCAAAAGATTCGCATTCAAAATAGCCGGGCTTGAAATGACAACGCCGTGCAAACATGGACATGAACTCAAATCGAATCCATTTCCGGCACAATCCTGCAGAAATCTGTCATGGAATCCTTATAGAAAACATGATAGCAGTGTTGGAGGAATCGATCAAATAAGCACGTGCAAGCTCCATCTATCCAACCAAATCTATTGCTTACCAGTGTTTCGAACTTTATATTTCGTCACTCTCGAAACATTATCCTCAATCAAGAGCCTAACACCAACAAAAACTGAAACGACCACTACTACCAGAGTACAGAACGTATCAAATCGGAATTATTAAATGGCTTCACCCACCATCACACCCGAACTGCGATTGTCACACTTACTACTGTTAAATTGATAGTAGAATGCGCCAAGCGACTTACGAGTAGCATCGATGCCCAATGTTCAACTTTGCATTAATTTAGCACAAAGTCATACCAATTCAATTACCTTTCGACATGTCTAGCGCACTCAGTTTGCTAAAACATTGACACAAAGTGAAGAATAATTCATGAAAGATGGGGTATAGATTTTACTGTATACAAGAAAGAACAGATTGGTGCAATATCACCGGTTTAGAGATAGATCTAGTAACTTCCAGAACCGCGAATGTGACTAATGAGTTCACGTAACCGTTCCAACGTATCTCGATATGTTCGCGTGGAACTAGAAACAAAGTCACCATAGGCACTCGTGAATCGATGGTCTACCTCAACAAAAGAAGAGACTTCAGTTGATTAAAAACTGGTTCCAGACGCCTTTTCCGAATCGATATCACATTCGCATTGGATGGACAAGATGTTGACGCTTTAAAATGACCTGGTAAGTGAGTATGCAGGTGAAAGGAAGTAGACTTGTATGACCTACCAAGCGACGGCAGTTCGACCACTTGAGCGCGTTTGAAAAGTCGCCTACGCGTCACCGTAACGGGTTCCGGTGGATGATTGTGTACCATTCTAAATTTCTTGACGGTGAGTACACTGTCCTTCATAAGGAGATAAAATGCGGCAGGACAATCACAACGAATGGTGCTGCAAAATCACGGAATGTGGACAGTGGATGAAGGTGGAAGAAACCGCGACAAACCGGTGCTTGAGCGGGTTGACAGCAGTGCTCTTATAGCTGCCATAGTGGATGCATACGTAGTAGACGCGCTTGTAAACTAGACGCTGGAAGTCAGGCGATATGGGAGGCAGCTTGATAGCATCTCGCTTGCGAAAAATAAAGCCTGACTCCTAGAAGAAATAACTCATAAATTCCATATTTCGTTTTTGAACAGACAAACTTCCATGAAAAACCATCACCTGTCAGATGAGCGGCAAAAAAAGGCGGACCTGAGGCTACTTTTCACAAAGAATGTAATTCAGCCTGCTATGATTTTTTAATGCTGTTTAACGTCAATAAGGACACAGTAACTTCAGACACATCACCATGACATGCTAATTATACATGACCTATACACGTCCAGAAACGAAGATAAATGAAGATTGGTAGGAATAAATGCTGTGTCTAGCCGATAACACATGCTGAGGTGGTGCAAAGGATTAGAACCAAACGAATCACCAAATATTTATAAGAATGTGGGCAATATGCCAGGAGTAATAGGCCAGACGGAATATTTTCCTGATTGCCTAGCGTAAAAGGTCAGTTTTGGCAAATGTAGAAATACATAAAACGTTAACAGTACACAAAAGACTCCAATGTGAACATCAATACATAAGAACAAAGACACCTGTTGAAACAGCTGGAGTTTATCCGAAAAATCGTCAAACGATTGGAAGGGACAATTCGCTATGCTTCGCTTGAATTCCTCCGTTGCGTCCATCTGCGTGACCTCTGAGGTCATTTACAACCGGCCGCGAGTTGAATTCCATCCTAATGCGTGAAGTAAAACATCAACTCACTTATCATTAATGTGGGAAAAAGTCGCTACCTTTTTACATTTTATCATGTCCTATCGAATCTAAATTTTTGTACTTTTACGCACTTAAATCCAAGCCCACTAATTGTCCTCAAACGGCTTTCGAGATAAACTTCAGTTGTCATTTCAAGGCCAAAGGTGTCGATAGGGTTGGCATCTTTTACATGTCAGGGCTTTATTGGAGGTTGTGCAAAAAACCCTTGAACAATGGCTTTTTCGCAAGAATCGGAAAAGGAATGTGTATGTTTGATCCATTACTTATCTTATTTCGCTTGTGCTGTAAGTATTAGAATGGGTTTGCTGCTATCTTTGAGGTGGTCTACTATGCGATCACATAAACTTGATGGGTATGGTCAGTTGATTGCATTATATTTTGTGTTTTTGAAAGCCGCACATTGTTTCATTTCAAAGACGCATGTATTGGATGTGCACAGCCTTTAAGCAAAATGCTTACTTTGTTATTTCTGCCATTTGGGCTTCAACGTTTATCAATTTTAACTGTCCTATAAGTTGTCATGTTTTAAACCAGATGTCAAGCTATTGCTTTGCTCTTGGTTGCATGCTCAAAATTTCGCTTACTTCTTTTATCAAGGGGTCTACTTTCAGCAAATCGGCTCTGACTACGCCAGTACCTTTAGAGATACCCTTAAACAAGTACGTGACAGACCCATTAGGTTTGCTGCCATTGCCACAACAATATGCGCTATTTCTACAGTTTACATCGCATGCCCTCATGAGTTCGATTATCGGGCGGCCCTCCTCAACGCCTCTGTCGATCTTTGGGACACTCCTGCCAGCCTTCAAAGTCAGCGAAGCCTCATTCACATCGAGGAACGAGTCACTGCTCTCTTCCACGGCCACCTACGTTACTGCAGCCTTCTGGGATTGGTTCACTTCGTCTGGCGCGATGATCGCACTGATGGCTGCCGTCTCTACTCCGAGATCTGTCCCTATGCTAACGCTAGCTCCTGCTCTGTCAGTGATAGTCAAATCGGATCATTTCGCAGCTTTCTCCGCCTCTTCCTTTATGATGCCCCTCCGGGAAAGGATGTTGACGAAGTTGGGTTTGCAGACCGAGCAAGGTATATATTTTCCAAGCGAATTATTGACGTTGGTGCTTTGGGACGTTTTTGGGCGCTTGATTCCGCCATGCTTGATTATGACATCAACGAGGCTGAATTTTACGGGGGCTCTGCAGTTAATGCCACCTCTTCAACTGAGTGACGAACTTAAGCCAGGGGAGATCCCTGAAAGGCACGAAGACGCTTCTGAGCAAGCTTCCCATGCTAGTACATCATCGGTGCCAGCTCAAGAAGAGACGATGGAGAGCACTGGCTCCCATGAAACTATTGAAACTGCCAATGACCCTTGTAAACTTGAAGGGGGGGAGAATGAGTGGGAGGTTGTGAACGAGACACTTGTATACGCAGATTGCGTTGGAGCCGTTGAATCGGAGCTAATGGAATCTGGAAAATCGGTGCTTCTCGTTGATCTCGACGCTGAAAGTCCGCTGATACAAGTGAGTCTATATTTTGGTTCTATCTGATTTTCTTCCTCACTTACGATAGATCGGTCCAGCAATTTTCCAAGGAACTTATGCAGATTGTCTGGGAACGAATTTGATCTTTGAAAAGCACCATCCTGATCCGGAAAATACCCAGCCTTCGATGAAAACTATTGCCAGACCTTCAATTGAGATCTTCGCTTCACGCGCCAAAAATTCTGTCCGCCCCTATTTTACCTATTTCGGGAAGACGTCAAAAAACCTCAACCTTCAACGTGTTTTCTTGAAGCCAAAGGAATGAGCTCTCTCCTCTCTCCCCACTTAGGCGCAACTGGGTCGCAAGTCCTATACGTTTAAAGCTATCTGTACATAATCAATTGAAAGCTTTTCATTCTCTCTAATGGTAAAATATGTGCATCTCAGAATGGGATTGTAAAGGGGGGTTTTATTTTTTTGTCTAGTTACTGCATAATTATGCTCGTTTTGCGGCCTTATTAGTAACTAAACTTATCTGCCGATGGAGCTATGGTATTTGTAATAGTCAAGTCCCCTGAATTTTTTTTTCAAGCATCGGGTTAACTTCAGACATCTGGTGAGGTAAGGGTGCAAGACACCTGGCGCAAATTGACTAACAAAGGTGATAGATCGTTCAATCATATTCGACTAGCTAGACTACTTCCCATTGTCATCTATCCATTAGATTTGCATCTTATGGCTTAGTGAAAACAAGTACTCATGGAACAACTTTTGTGACTGGATGAGGATTCATGAAATGCATTTGTCAGAGAGCATTATGGCTTTGATTAAGGCTTTGACAAGTAGCAGTTGACCAAGGGCAAGGCAAGACTCTTGTCCCAGCGTTGTCAAACTTAATCTAGTGACTGGGTGCCTAGACCATCTTTTAGCGACTTCAGTACCTTTGGAGATTGTATATTTGTCTGGGAAATTTTAATGGATAAATGAGAGATAAAATAACAGCGAAAGAAGTGTGTCAGAGAGGACAAGGTGGGGAGAATAGGAGAGAAGGGGAAAAGATCAAGGACAAAATGTGAGTTCTTTGCTCCTCTTTCGCGCAATTAGCGCAGTTCACTAGAAGCGAGGAGTCACTCGCGTGTTTATACGCACAACACCGTTTTTGTCCACGGTGAATGGCCTGAAAAGAGGAAGGACTTTTGGGCCATTTGGACTTATTTATTCTGGGGCATGCACATTCATGCATTTAAGCACGTGCGAATTTTCTCTAGCAGAGCGAGGAGAGTGGAACGCATCACTGTGTGCCTGGAGTACATCATGCAAAATGAACACCACTTTACCTCTAGGAGTCTGAATCTGGAGAAGAAGCGATAGGACCACTAAGATATGCAGATAAGTAATGGGAGAGAAGCAGGAGGGACAGTGCATTGCACAGAGCAATTAGTTCTGCATGTGTGCCTCTGTGAATGCTTGAAATAAAGGTAGGTGTGGTGATAGTAGCTGTATGCGGATGGGGTGCAATCTTGACTAACGACCTGTATCAATGTAGCTGTAGTCCTCAACGTCAAGTATCTTTCCTGACCCACTCTCTTTTGAGAGCTGCGGTGCTGGATCGGCATACTTGCGTGCTGTTTCTTTAGGCGAGTTGCGTAGTGATGCGGAGTGGAGGAGTTTGCGTGGACTAAAGACGCGGCCGGTGCGGGTGGAACTCTCCGCACAGCCGGAAGTGATATTCTGCAGACGTTGGTGTAGGTTTTGTGCCTTCGCACTTATTAGGCGCTTGAACCCAGAGCCAGCGCTCCCGCTAACACTCCCACTGTTAGACTCCTGCAAAGATTCTTGCGACCTGTTGGAAGGCGGAGGGTCCTTATGAGGATGCAAAGTGGTCAAAGGCTGGTTTTGTGGGACTGCCCTGCCTGGGTCATGAGGAAAGGGTGAGGACTGCTCTGACTTGGGAAGTGAAGTCTTGTGAACGTTCCCTGTCAAGTTTTCTGTAGGGAATGACAAGTGGTCATGTTGAGGAAGAAGTAGGAGGAAGAGGGGAAAGCTGAGTGAGATCGAGCTTACGGGTGGTAGGAAAAGACTCCCCTCTCATGTCAGCGAAAAAAGCTTCTCGAGCTGCGGCGGTAGAGATGCTGGCAGAGATAGGAGCGGTGGTAGGAGCACTCGAGGAACTCGCAGGGGTTAGGGACGCATCCCTCTCCAGTGACCCTGCTGGCAGAAGCTCAACAACTGTACCATCAGCTCGTTCTCGGATCTTCTTTAGCAGTATTGCAGCGGTGAACTCAGAAGGGGGACCGAACACATCATCAGCGCGATTTATGCACAATTCTACAGCTTTCATGAGCCAGGCGTTATCCACAAACTCCATCATGTTAGCCACATTAAACCTGGATGAGGAAACGATTTTGCTGAAAAAATGTGGTGCTACTTGTTTGGAATTAGTAGATTATTAACAAACCTTGGTTTTCGGCGCAGGACCGTAGGGCCGAACATTGTAGCTAAGTTGGCTGCACCCATTTGATTGACTGATTGGTAGTTGGATACCCTTTAAGATGAAGATTTCAATGAACAAGTAACATTCATCCGACGGCAACACAAATTTAGCTGTGGAATGTGATAAAACAAGCTTCGTGTCTGTACTATGCTAATTTCTTATTACAGCTTTGCTAAACTGTGTTTTTAACACACTTAAATGTCAGTAGGCAAAGAATGAGGCATTTAAGTCGGCTTTTTAGTATACTTGAAGAAAGCCATCTTCAATTCCAAACGCTTAAATTGTGGTATTAAGTGCGTTATGGAACATGCTAATGCTCAGTGGTGGAATATCAACGCAATAAACACTATTTACCTCTTTAAATGGTGGAATAAGAGCCCAGCTACCCTTTGATTGGCGGATGATAGTTGACCAATCAAATTGTGGAGCTTCTTAGCCTGTTCATCGACCGTTCCACTATCAGGTGCTTCGAGGGCCTTGAACAGAACGTTGGAATCGTAACTACATTCTTGTATTTTCCTGTCTTGATTTCAGCATTTTTTTAGACTCTCATGTGTGCCACTAGGGTTATGAGGGCACGAGATTGATATATATCATGACACCGGGGGTGGGAATACCATGTTATACCTGTTGTTTTACGATAAAATGAAGCCCTGAGATAGGGTGGGCAAGTGGGCACAATGTACTCAGATGGTGTAGATCGCTCCTTCGTGGAGCCAAAACTATGGCAATTTGTCGCCAGTCGAACACAGTTTAAGCAACATAACTCGCTGGCCTCCAAATGAATGAAATAGAGGTGGTGAACTAGAAAATAGGTAGTGAGGAGGAAAGGAGTGCCTTGAATCGATGTTTTACGCAAAGCCTCCTTGGTCTCAGAATATTTATTGCCAATGCAGTAGACTATGTGGTAGCACACCCACTGATTCGGGGATGAGTGGTAAAATATCACGCATTGTGGGTTGCGTAGAGGTCATGCATCGGGTTAGTCGCTGAAATAGTTGAGAGGGCGGCATTTAGTGTAGTCGTGTCGTCGTCACCAAAGATGGAGAAAAAAGCAGACGACGGCGTTTTTATAAATGGGATGGGCTTGAGGTATCCTATGGCAATAGCAAAATTAGTTTAGAGCGTCTATTTCTTCGCACTGTTTTGGTTTCCGCATTCAAGTTTTAGAGACAAGAATTTTACTTTACATTGACCAAAACTACTGACAGGACAGTTTCGGCGGTTGTTGACAGCATGGGTTAGTGTGCTGAAATTACAGTTAGGCGGTAACTCAGTAGCCTCTTTAAAAGTAAGCACTATATGATAAAGAAGTAGGAGGTCAACTCACCTTTCCAACATCAACAAACTGGTCGTAGAGATTATAGCTTAGCAGGGGTTCCGGTAACTAAAACATTAAATAAACATGTCTTTTCTGACAGTGACACTATACTCTCTAGGGATGATCGGTGACGAGTTAGTCGCCAATGTCTCCAATTCTTAAGTATGAGTGGCTGGATTCTGGCAGGCAGAATTCTAGTTTTATGCTAGTGCTATGGAGAAATCACTTGTGTTAGTGTTTGTTCTGCGAGAGTATTACTTCAACTACCCGTCCAAAATGCCGATTTTGGAGGTGTGAGCACCCTTACAATGAGTATAGGGATGAAGCGACACAGGCCCAAATCGTATTACAACTAACGCGCTCCAGTTGGCAAGTTGGCCGTGATGCCTGATGCCATGGCTGCGTGTGCACCGGTGAAGGAGTGAGAAGGTGTCACTACGGGGCTTGTTACAGACACTAAATGAACATTGCCTCTCCAAAATCTCTTTTGGTGACAGCAGTGGTTTTCGTGTGGATGGTTACAAGTTCCACTGTAGTTTTAAAATCTCTGCAGGAGACTCTGCCAAAAAAATTGCATTAGTATGACGTCCATTCCAGTTGTCAAAGATTTGAGGAATCCACACTACTTAGGTGTCAGAAATACTACCCTTCAGTGCCTCTGCCGACAACTCTAGGCGCTGCCTTGTGTGCTTACCCTTCCACCTACAACCTCGCCCTCCCCAAATGTCTAAGCAGAAAACAAGGAAAAAAGGCCAATCCATTGCCTTAGACACAGTTGACTTGACATTTTCGCTTGTTTGGGAACGTGGTTGTTCAAAATTACTTTTAACGAGCCCTGTGAAAGGCATTTTACCCACTTGCACAAGTAGCACAAAATTTGGTCATCGGCCAATAAAAAGTGCCATGGTATGAAAAACGTAGACGATGGGAGCCTCTCCATTTCTCCGCTACTTAGAGGAATTTAAAAATAGACCAAAGCGAGCGCTCCTAAGTTGTATCATCGATAGCTAAAGTTTACGACAGGGATTGCATTTCTTAGCACATTACACCACATTCCAAGTCGATGGGTTGGAGCTTGTTTGCTGGTCTGCTTCACAAGCTGCATTGTAGTAAAGCTGAGGGGCAGAAATGATGACGGCACCACGGAACCATGGGGGAGACGGGGAGAGGGCCGCCTTACCATTGTAAAGACCGGCTGAGCCAAATTTATAGCACTTTTATAGCCTGTGGGTGAGCCCCTCTAACTTCTTCTAAATCCGCAAATCACATCGACCATTTCTTTTAGGCGGCCCACCTTGTCCAAAACAGTCATGTCCTTTAATGCGTTTGCAATACTTTAGTTGATTGATCCTCAGGTTTGACAAAGGGTCATTTCATATCTTATCCTCTGGATCATGTTGGTAGTCGCATGCCATGGTGTATGTCAGCCGCACATACTTTACCAAATTTGTGTGACTTTCCTTTTGGAGAACGCTTGAAACGTTGCTTTGGTGACAGTGAAATGTGAATCTCCTCTTTACGGGCGCCCATAAGTCTCACGAAGAGGTCTGCAGGAAAACCATTAAAAGAGGGAGCAAAACTAGCCGTAAATCAACTGAAAAAGTTTTGCAATGGAGGCGTCAGCTGGTTTTGTAGGAAGATGTTAATTATTTAAACAGAAGATACTGCCATTACTTCTGAGGAGAAACCTAATGGGTAATCGTGACTTAGTAACACTGAAGTGAGAACGATAGGTGTGAAGTTCTGCCCCCAAAGAACGTTGTCGAATGACGGTAATTTAAGGTCAGTAGTTTTTGATGCTCATGCAAGATGATTCTCTACATCCAGCAAACTCGTCAAAAGGGCTGATCCCTTTTCTCACGGCGCCAAATACTTTACAATGGGTGACGCAGAAAGTTGACCAAGAAAAGCCTCATTGAGGAAGCTCGAAAGAGAAGAGGAGGTACGTAACACGTTTATTGTTTGTTTCAAACTCAGTTTTGATGAGAGAATAAGGTAGACGCTGGATCCTTTCACCTCCGCCAATTGAGCTGTAAGCCCTCCTGCGTGCCCATTAAGCATAATCTGCCCAAGTGCTGTGACTTCTGGAGTAGTAGCGTGGATGCTGCGGTTTCGACTTACTGCCTACATTTAGTGGAAGATTTGCATTCCCAGTGTACGACACCTGTTGCCTTAAAATAGCTTGCAGAAAGCTTACCAAGTAAACTGTCGGTCCGCAGCTGTCAGTGAAGGAAGTGTAGGAATCTTTTACCCCCGCAAATTCCTAAATGGCCTCCCATTTTTCTCATGCAAACCCACTTACCTCATTCCATAGTTACACTGTTAAACTCTGATTGTATGGCCCCACCCCTCGTTCTCCTTTAAAACTGCCACTTCTCTTTGACGTCATCGGATGGGGCAAGCATCAAGGGCAAAGAAGACGATAAAGTAATGCCACCCTACGATTACAAAGTCGTGCTACGTTTCTACAAACTAATACGCAAGACAATGGGAGTTAAAGATGGTGGAAAAAGTTAGTGCGTCTGCTCACAATAGTTACGCAATGATGCAAATGAGACTCGACAATCTAGCGACAGATCGAAGTCGGTAGGTTTGCAGTCTCGTAGAATGCACGACAAATTTTGAAAATCTGGTTCCTTAATTAAAAAGTTACTTTTGTCACTGGAGAGGTGATTAGTGGAGAGATGCTTGGTACTCACTTGGATCAGTCGAGTTTTCAGAGTGCTGGCCAAAGTGATGGCGTACTCTCCGGAGAGGTCGACCGAACTGTAGCCCGACTCCTGTGCTGCTCTTATAGCCTCCACCACTCCAGCCACCTTGATCTTGGATGCAGGCACTCGGTATATACCCTGAAACAAAGGAAAAGGAGATGACTTGGAGGCCTTTGTGATTTGCCAGTGCCAGTGTCGGTGCTTGAGCTACTGACACGGTTGATTGCCTGAGCTTTTCGAGCTCAGAGACTTCATTAACACTTCTTCTTGCCTTTTATGCCCCTGTTGTAGGCTATTTCTATTCGAAAACTAAATCACAACCAGATTTCAAGAAGGACTTGGCAGATGTTCTAAAATGCGTCGAACAAATTCGCTGCGACTGTAGAACACTTTAAGGTTGGGATTGCCGTCTATTTTTGGGCTATGGGGAGCAGATAAGTGGGGCATCGGAAGTAGTTGTAGGCTAAATTGCCCTGCTATCAGAATGTGGGAGGGCTGGGTGTTTTGGGTAGGATCCTATCTCTCCGTGTAAATTGCCAATTCGAAGACTGCTTTTCGTTGTTGCTTCTTAAGTGTTAACCGTTCATGAATTTTTGAGTCATCGCGCCCTTCAACATAGCGATGCTCCTCCATTCATCCTGCTAAATGTGTATGGACAAATAAAAACGCTAGCGGACAACAATGGATTGAGTATTAATTGCAAAGGAAACTTTGGACTGGTCACTATAATGTCGGAGTAGAGGATCATGGTAGCTTTCAAAAGAGGCGAGCAAGGAAAATCAGTGGCTTTAAGAGATGTCAGTAATGGAAGACGTAACACGATGCGACTGTTTAAAAGCTGCTTGTCTAACTGCACGCCAGGTTGATATAAAAATCTCAACTCTTTGATTGAGAGAATCAAAATTAATGTAAAAATTAAGGCGCATCCTTCCCTACCTTTGGTTGGTTAGAGAGCCTGTTTCCGTGCTTGTTTTGGCTCAGGTGGTGAAGAAATATCCACAGTTTTTGATTGCGTTTTATTTGATTATTCTTGCAGGAGGTGCAACCAAGGCTAATTTGCGTATAGGCGCTAAACTGAGCCGCATGTGCCGCCTCTTCCTCCTCCTCCTCCTCCTCCTCCACTTCCACCACCACAACCAGCACCAACAACAACACTACCACCGCCCTCCACGTGTACAAACCACATTCAGCTGTTCATCTGTAGGCGTCGGATACAATTCTCCTCCAATTCCTGCTAACGAGTGCTACACAGTATCTAAACGAAAAATGCCCTTCCCAAAGGCTGATCAATTTCCTTCTTTTAGGTGCTTTTACAACAAATCTTGTGTGAACCAATTGCTCATGTTAGACAGTCACCACAAAGCCCGTCAGTGAAGCCCTTAAACGAGGGAGAAGCAGCTTCTCATAAAGCTTGCAAGTCAATCTTACTTTCCTTAATAGGCTAATCTAATAAAGCCAAACTAGCCACAGAAAGGTGCAAGGAGGACTTCCAAACCAAGAAATCAATCAAGCAGAAGTATGAAATATTCTTCATCCAAAGAGTGACTTGTAACTCGAAGATTTGTTTAAGGCAAAGGTCAGATCTTACTTTGATCAGAAGTGCAGTCTTAAATGAGCGTTGGTGCTGGTGGATCAACGCCTTCCACCCACCTCCTTGCCTGTCTTACCAAAATGAGTCGAGAAAGAGGCCACGGAGGCCAATGGGAAACCCACACCTATGAGGGTTTGGCCCTCATTCGCATGGCACTGCCGACGGTTCCAATACCATCAAACAGTCCGGTGGAGGAGGAGGAAGAGAAGGACGTGAAGGACGAGGAAAACAGCCACTAACTGCGGAAATTTGATAAAGTGTAAATTCTAAACCATCTTTTCGTCTTCCTCTAAATGGCGATAGAAATGCATGGGTGTGAATATTTTACAAGCAATGCTTGGGCAATGGTGCAGAAGGAAAAAAAGGGAAATGTGAAACGACTTTTCCGCTTTCGTACAGAGGAGTGGAGCCTCGTCGTGAGGCATGTGATGCACGACGCAATGGAGCCCTCCCTTTCCCATGGATGCACTTTTGTCCCCTCCATCTCTTCAATCCCCAAAGAGGCTGGCGTACGATTTGGCAAGAAAAATTGTTCGGTCTCCTTTCCTGTACAAATTGTGACTAAAGTTGACTATCTGAGGTCTTATTACATGTGGATTTTTTAAATAAAAAATGCAAAGGAGGACAAGAACGCAATCAGCAAATTACGCATTTTATTCAGTCTACAGCACTAACTTCTTTACCCTTCCGATTCACGTTAAGATTTGCCATCTCAAACGAACAAACGACTGTATGTTTCTAGGGTATCATAAATCCATTAGAAAATTCAAATGTAAAGGTATTATGTGAAGGAATTTTAACGAAAAATGAACCAATGGAACCAGCGCGGCTCAGGATGACGGCATGCCTGAGAATTCGCTCACCGAATGACCTGAAATAGTGGTGCCCAATGCACACAAAACGTTGAGGTGGTCTGACCTCCAAAGTGGGTAAACAAGAGCTGATGGTACGAGCTTGACAACCTCACAACTCCGGCAAATAATGCAACTTCCATTCTTGTAAAAATGACATTATCAAATGCCCTTCATCCAATACTGGCACGAAAGATAAAGCAAACTACAAAACAAGTAATTGTTTTAGTTATGCACTATTTAAGTCCTGCTACTAGAACGGATTGTACTTTAGGCCTGGAGAGTTGACACAAGTCCTCCCACCTACGTCTGGAGGCTTGTGAACGACACGATGTGGAGACGTCACCGTTTTGTTAATAAAACAATAACGCAGTCACCACCTTTGTTTATGCTTGAACTTCGAACAGTTTATCACGATCTGACTCATTTCTAAATGATTTGCACAATTAAACGCATCGTCGGTTCAAGCTTCTTCTTCGCACCAAAAGATTAGGTGTTTTATTGCAGCATAAATTCGAGTGGTTCTCCTCTACGCCATTACCGCATCTGTCACAAAAAACCTCGCAACATTAGGCAATTCCAGAGTTTCAAGGGTCACACAAGGGATCCGTCGAGATTTCTTCATGTTCTTTTCGCAGCATTTTACTGCAACGGAAGTGTCCCCGTTTAGTCGAGGTTTATAAGCCAATGCGGGGTTAGTGTCAATGAGGGAACCCGATCGGATTCCAGTCTCTGATCTGAACAAGGTGCTCCTTACACACCTCCATTTGAAGGTGAGAGGTTATGAAAAGCACTGTCTCAGCATTCTCCAAATGCCATCTTTCGCCTGAAAATGGTTCATTTCCTTACAGAACAGCCATATATAGGATGTTGAGGAGAAGACGCTTGCTCATTCACGTCACGATAAGCAGTCTTGCTTGGAGTTGAGTTGCACATAATCTTTGGCGGTTTTGGCCTTTCCAATGATACAACTCCCGTACAGCTATCGATGGGAAGGAAATCCTTGCACAATCCCCTATCAATCTTACACTTTTTTAAATAAGTGTGCAAGTATTTTTGCCCTAAGTCGTCGGGAGGGCGTTGTTCACGCCTCAGCAACTGTTGCCCTCGTACTTATGAAAAACGTACGCAAAATCGGACCAACAGCTAATTTGTTTAAATGTGCGTGTTTGATGGAGATCAAATGCTTAAAAGAAGGAAGGAAGGGAAGAAGAAAGGGAAAGTGAAGATGAGGGCATATGGGACGACGTCGGAGAAATGCCACTGAAAAGGGTAATTGTCAGTGCTACCACTATATGTGTGTGGCAGTGTGCGTGTGTGGGATTTGGCCAAGCAAACAAGAGACATTTTTGACGGCGTTAATACTGATGTGTCTACCTCAGCTTTCTCCAATGGGAAATTTAGTGATAGGACAGACAGGAAGTTAATATTTGTCACTTTAAGGAAGCGCCACATAAGCAGGTGTCATATTCATCACACGCCATGAGCAATTGCAGCCACTGAGAGGAATGTAATCACGTTTGCTATGGAGGAAGAATGACCAGAAATGTTTTAGGAGGATGTGGGCTCACATGAGTTTGCAGTCCGTCCTTTTGAGCTTCGATACCGTTTATGCACTGAATGAGGACAAAGCAGGCATTGTCATATTCCACCTCTGCGGCTACTTCGAGAGCAGCGAGATGTGCAGGGTCGAGGTCAGTGCATGCAACAGCGGCGGTGGCAGAAGGGACCCGGGCGCCCTTGGTGCCTCGCAGATTGGTCTTCTTAAGGTCGGGTCGGAAGAGGGTAGAGCCGAACTGCACCAGGGAGGAGAGGACGGTGGTGCTGCCTTGTGGAACACCATCTGCCTCGCCCTCCGAATCTGACTCGGAGTGACGACCTTAAACAAGTAGACAGGCAACAAATCACGAGAGGACAAACCAAAGAACTTTAGTCAAACGTCAGAAACATCACTAGGCGTTGGAGGGCAGAAAGTGTGCATTTGCTTTTCCTAGGAAGTAAATTTAACCCCACGAAGCACATAATGAATTGTTGAATGAGACACACCCCGATCGTGTTTGAAACCGTCACAGACAGCAATGCAATTGTCAGCCCATTGTGCTTGCGTGTTTGAAACAGCAGTCTCTAAGCTCGTTGGCTAAATTAAGTTGAAATAAGTCTAAATCAAGCATAAATAAACCGATGGCAGTGAATCAGCCAACACTGTAGGAGTGGAGCCTCCATGCAGTTCTGTTAAAGTCGAACCTGTCTTTGAGGTTGGCGGAGGTGAACACCTCCATTGCTCACTCTCCAATCATAAAAGGATGCAACAAATGCTATTTTAGTGTCCATTTCATTTCACAGCAGATGACAAGTGAAGGAAATTAATTTGTTGTAATTGTTAAGTGACAGCTAATTAACCAGTTGGCAGGTGAGCAATGGACAGGTGTGAAATTTTTGGTGTGAAACCTACCAAACACAAAAAAACTCTTTTCCAACCTTTTCCTTGCCTGATTTAGGGTTTCAAACTGTGTTGCTCCTTCTGCGTTACGCACGATTTGCAACGGACAAAAATGGAGACCATGACGGTCACAAGGTGAGGGAAGAAAGACCACCTCCACTCCAAATGATGCCCTAAATGCGGCCGTTGTGACCACCACGAAGAGGATTGGCGTGGCAACAAAGACATTCAGCATAGGCGGTTAGAATAAGTTTATGCAAAGCTCCGTCTAAGGTAAACAACCTCCAACAACCAACATTATTCAAATTAAAGGCAACTTTGGTGAAACAGTCAGCGCACGTGCATTCACCCCATCAGTTTATGAGGAAAAGTAACTTTTTGGGAGATTACTTCATTTTCTGATGAGTCGAAGTGCCGTTTTTCTTTTTCTGGTATTTGAAATGCCTAAGTTAATGACGGAATGGTGAAGTTTGATGCAGATGAGAAAATTAGCCAGCTCTGTGGATGTGCTCTTCCAACCATGTAGATTTCGTGGATTTTGTTGCTTGTCGAGCACCACCACAGGCACTCATGCACTGCAGGTGTTGGCTGAAAATGGATGGTGTTTGATGGTCCGCCTGCCGTCACCGAGTGCTCACCGCCTTCCTCACTGCATGCAGCTGGATTTGCAAAAGCCATCACAACTGTGGCATAAATGAGTCTCACAATACTGCCTTCCATTTCCATTTCGGCTTCGACAGTGAGTTTGGAGTCGGACGACCTTTAAATCGGCAGGAATGAGGTAATGTGTGACAATCATCAACAAATAACAACAGTTGTTCCTTCGATGGAGGTAATTTATGATGAAAAGGTGGGAAAGGAAGGAGTACTTCAAGGAAGTCGATCTTCACCCTCTTTCACCTCCATAACACCCAAATTTGCCCTCTTCATTCGCACACGGTAGAAATAAACAAGTAAATGAATAAGTGGAACCGATCGTGCAAGCAAAAGTAAACAATCATTCCCACAGAAAAGCGCTCTACCTCCACTCTTTGCAAAAAAACTTTACCACATGCTAAACTCTACGATATCTCTTTGTGGATCAGTAATTAAGCTCAAAAAAGGAAAACCTCTGCTTGATGGTTGGGAAGATCAACATGAAAGGGAGGAGAGGTCGTAAAATAGCGTATTACAGTTTTTAGCCAACTCGCTTCCTTTACTATTGTTGAGATTATGGCCAAATACACACAAAAAAGACCGCATTTACCCACAATCCTTCCACAATTCCCTCAGTTTAACGGTAAAAAGTGAATAAAATGCTTCATCGGATGCTCCTGTTTGCTGCCGTTTCGATGCAGTCCCTAGCAGAAGTACAATTCATAACTTATGAAACTATTGAATGTGTTTAGAGTTTACGCCTCCCAGAGTGGCTGGATGGTGATCCCACGTGACGGGAGCTCGCACTTCCATAACTCGGCCGTGGGACGATGGGAGGTGGATCAACTGCAAACGACGCAATTAACCTGGGAAGGCAACTGGTGAGGGGATGTGAATGTCAGCTGGGTTATAGAAAAAAAATTGTTTGTTAGAACAGTGGAAATGTTAAGCCACGTCCAGCTGACATTCGAGAACAGAAGAATTTGGATCTTCCATTTGAAAGCCGAAAGTGAAGAATGTGGACTATCATGTCTCCTAATTTCCGCTACAGACGCTCTCGGCTCCAGGAAGAATTGAGACTTTAAAGGGTCAACAGTTCACCTCTCACACTTACCATCAGCCACATCAGACGTGTCTTTGGAGTAGAGCTGAGCGAATCGAGATACGAATTTTCCAAACGCAGCATCGCCTCTAATGTAGACAAGAAACGATTTTGCCAGACACTTTGTCACATGTGGAAAGTTGAACTGACTAGAGGCGAAATGGAATGACTCCTACCGGTCTTTCGCGTTTGCCGGATTGTCATGATAGCCCTCAAATTGGTACTTCTCCAGGACGACATCAGTCCCGTTTTGAACATGTTCTTGAAGAAGGCGATGATATGGTCGACATGGGATGTAATTCTGAAACTTGGTCGCAACATCTTCGTACTGAAAGGGCGATGAAATGCGATACCTCTCAGTTATAGCACTCTAAAAATATGACCTATGAACACTTCCACTGACTTAAAATTTTGGCTCACTTTTAAAAAAAGAGTGCTTTATGGTTATTTTGATGAAGAAGTTTAGCTACGATCCCCAAAAGCGCTACCAAAGTGTCGATACAGCTGTCCAACTCGTCAAGAGAGCGGCGATCGGAGTGAAAGGCAGCCCCAAAAGAAGAATGACAAACACTAGGTAAACTCTTGCACCGAAAGGAGGCTCCATTGCCTGTCCCTTAGCTGCCAAGACTGGGCGGCAGAAACGCCATTTCTTCTGCCATCGAGGATAAAATGAAGGCATGTATCACGTTTGTACCCGATTTTGGTAGAAAACTGTAACCAAAATCTGTCTTTGCAGGACAGGAGGCAAACAAAGACTTTGTTGTTCTTGGTTGTGTTATATGTCCTCACGGAGGGACCAACAATTTATTCTTACCAGTAAAAATGTGTTTTAAATCAAAAAAAAGATTACGAGAAGTCACATTTGATTGTCAGGAGGTAGTGAGAGTGGGGGCGCTGAATTTGCCTGTGCCAGGTGCTGCCTTGTGGAAAGTCCCTCCACGACGCTAAGCCAAGCAATCGACAATTCGGCCTCTGCAGTGCCACTGTGGGTCTGTGGACGTGCAAACTAACCACACTTCAACATAGAACGTGGAAAGGCGATCGGTGACTTAGTCACAACCAAAAAGCCAAGTTGCGACTCTCGAAGCCGAAAATATGTGCCATTGGAAAGAGGATGGAGATTGGAGTGTGTACAAGTTGACAGTTGGAAGATGATAAATAGCCAAGTTGGCTGTGTTTTCAAGGGAGAAACACATCAGCTTGATATAGGACGAGGTAAGCCAAGTTTAACTTGTTAATGGCTACTACAGTTCTTAGGGCCAAACTAAAATGCAGTTGCTTCCTCCTTCTCCGTCGGATCACTGGCTGCGACCCTTGAAGAGTAATGAAAATAAGAAATTTTGTGTAACATTTGTATTAACAAAGGAACTGATTCCTCCTCATCCCATTTTTGCCATTTTTCTCTCCTAACCATGACAATGGATTCATGGACCGAACAGTGGATCGGAATTTCCTTAATTATTTTGTTGATCATTCAAATCTTCTTGAACTCCGAGAGCATTCGATGTACAACCAAAAGTAGACGTCTCGATTCCATCCCACTGGATGCGTTGCAGAAACAGAGCTGTCCAGGCAATTTGGATTTTGAGGAACCTCAAATGCCTGTGACAGCTTCAGTACCATTGACCGATGCGACCCTGCAACCTGACCTCAGAATACCGTAAACAAGGTCACACAGTGTCCGCATGGCAGATGAGGAGAGCAACTGACGTAGACTGCAGCACTGTCGTTCAGTTCGTTAAGAGCGTGGGATGGGGCAATCGGTCCCAACAACTGCTCTCAACCACTTCCTGACAATTTAATCTAATTATTTAGCTTTAATGTTATGCAAGTGCAATGTCTGCTCCATTAGTAGTCAGCAGTCACTGTTGTGGAGAGACCTGTAACCCAATATCCACGAGATCTTGTAAAGCCTGCAACAGTTGTCCGCCCTCCGTCAAGGCTTCCATGCACAAATTAACCTCCTTCTCTTTTTAAAAATAGTACGCACCCTTTTTTGCATTGGTGTTCTTCCGGAAAAAGAGAAACAAGATCTGCATGTTGTCCAAGCAGTGAGGGCAAATTGGGAGATTTGGAGTATTTTTTGTCACTAAATTGACTCTTTCATGAATAACGAATTTGAGTTTTCATAGAGGCTATAATAAATACCTGTGATAGAGGAGGAGGAGGAGGAGGAGGAGGAGGAGGAGGAGAGTTAAACAAAACCCTCCTGATGGATTAAAAGGAGAGCACTTGTGAAAGGTTAATTAGGCAGGTGGTTTGAGCAACGAAGCCGGAAGTGTTGAAGTTGCTTACGTTGCTCAGCATCTTTGTCCGTGTTACGAAGAGGTGGCTGATGAGTTCGGCCATGGAGTCGCTGACAACTTCGTCACACTTGGTGACTGTTAGTCGTGTGTCGCAGATTATTTCAACCTTTATCCGGCGAAGAGGAGGCCAAGAGAGGAAAGAGAAAAGAGAGGGATCAGGTTTAGTTTCGCCTACTCATTAGCATAAATTTGTCAAGCATCATTCAAGCTTTACACCAAAAGAAGTGCCTGGACTTTTGAATTGCGTGTGTGAGGAACGTCTGACCTCGTGAACTACACAGTCTGTGAATCACACTTCATTAAAGTGAAGTACACCGCAGCAAGATAGGTCGTGGTGATGAGTTTGGAGGAGAGACAGTAAAATCTCACCCAGATCGGGGGAGGCATGGAAAGGCAAGGTGACTTACCCGACTTTTTTCCAGCTCCACAAGTCTAGCGTTTGCCGCATCCACGGATTCTCTGTAGGCGTACATCAATTCCATCTCCTAAAGCGACAATGTTGACCTAAGTTAAGCTGCAACACCTGCTTTAGTGCCTTTGTATGCATTCGTCAAGCATTAAAATCGAAAACATTTGAAGTGTTCATCAAACTCCAAGCTGTGGGACTAGACGATGGAGGGAGGAACCAGGAACGATTTGTGCTGCTAAACCCAAGAAGATGACGCAACATGATCCCCTTCCGCTTTCCTCTGGCGCTTCGCATCTAGTAAAAGGTTGGTCGACAGCAGCTGAGGGTATCTCGACTTGCCGCATCAGAAGAGAAGACAAATTGCACTTTTTTCTGTCACCCCACAAAAAGTCATCTCTTGAGGTGGTATTAATAACATCAAGAAAAATTGGGCTCGCTATCACTGCCATCAAGAGACTGTCAATTCAGTGGTTCTGCGTATCTCATTTGCTATCCGCGTAATTAACTCGTGGTAGCGTATTATTATTAAACGCTGCCACTTATGATTCCAAGCGAGTGGAACACCTCCGTGTATTTCCCATTGTCCAAGGAATTAGGAAAAACTGAAATTGAAAATGTCCTTAACTAGTTTAGACAGCTAAACCTATGACAATGTCCGAATTAAACACTTATTCCAAGGTCAAATTTCCCGTTACTGACAACTAATATTAGATCACTTCGCATAATAGTCATCCCCTTATTGCAGTCTTAAGCATTCTATTCAGAATGAAACGATACTACTGATTGTGTGAAAAGTAGTTTGGAAGTTCAGCTAAAACGCTTGAAATGAGTGTGAAAAGTACAGATTTACAAGTAATTAAAAATCTCTACTGAAAACATTCTAGCGTTTCCTCACAAAGCATTCTTGATTGCTTCTGCTGTATTTACCCATGGGGCAGCCACAATGCAAGTAAGGCGTTTATTTTTAACATTGTTTACTTTAGTAGATGAGTGTTAGGATGAAATTATTTCTGCCTTGCTGAATCCCACCTTGAAACAGTCCTAAATTCATTGTAAGTGATTTTCGGTTGTAAAATTGTTTACATATAATATACTTGCCTATTTAAAGCAAGACAAATAATTTCGATAGCTTGTTGTTGCAGTCCCTGAGTTTTGTCTCTCAGTTATAATGCGAGGGATACTGCTTTGATGCTTGACAATGAATAGGCAGAAATGCACGTTGACTTTCGGAGATCAAAAACCCAGCTTGGCGGAGTCAGATGGTCTTAGCCCAGTATTAGCATTATCTGCTTAAATATTGCTGAAGTTCATAGGGAGGAAGAGAAGACGCAGGCCGGACTCGCTCCCTCCCACATCTGCCATTGCTTGCAGGTAAGACACAAAGATTAGAGGAACCATTTCAGAGGAGAGCATTCAAAGCATTTTAGGGATTTACTCCACCACTAACGCCCATGTCAACTCTCACCACGTCAGGGAGAGATAGAGGTGGGGTTGTTGAAAGGAGATTTTGACACTGCAAGGCAAGAGGTCCTTTAAGGTAAAAGTCCAAGAAAGCGAAGTCCACAGCGTATAATGGCCCAATGGAGTTTGGCTTCAAACAGTTGTACTTCTTTGCTAACAATATAGGGAACCACATTTGCTTAAAATAGGGAGAACTGGCAAATTACGGTAGGTCCTTCCTCTAAAAATAGGCAACTTGTTGGGAATGAACAAAGAATGCAGGCGTTTCTGCAAATGTAGACACTGCCTGCATATTATGAGGATTACAATGCCAAAATGGAAGCCTCATGGGTCAAGAAAATGGAGGCAATAGTGCTTGAAATGCCTCTGGATGACGACCAAACTTGGTTATGGCCCTATGATACATCAAGTTAGGCCGCCACTGAGGGGATTTTATTTTGATTAGCGGAGAGATCGGCTGGAGGTAGCGATGGAGAACAGACCTTGGATTTGGACACACGCCACACTCATATGGCTCTTGAATCACGCCTATGAATGCTATCATTCACTCAGGCCTCCATCTGTCCATTCACTTCTCCTCCTACACAAAACGCATCGTACAGCAGCACCCAAAAAAGAGCCAACAGAACGGTCCTAGACGAATGAAAGTTGCTGAAGTGCTAAAAGCAGAGGATTTTTATCTCCATGATGGGATGCAACGACTCATTCAAGTACTCCCCTTGCCAGATCGGTGATAGTGGACCGCCAGCCTGATCGAGTTGCCAGTGGGTGAAAGTGGCTACCCACTTTTTTGGTGGTCGAACCGCCTCCAACGCAACCGCTGACGAAAAGGTGTGTTCGTTTGCACCTTTTGCGTAACAGCATTCAAACGAAAGGCAACCTTACAGTGAGAGAATTTATCCTTCCCGATTTCGTTTGCACCTCTTTTTAATTTAATGAGGTACGCATTTTGCGTTTAGTTGGCGACGTAAGGCGGTGGGGTTGAGGAAAGTGCGGAGACGTCTGAAACCTGATTGCATTGACGTAATTTCCTTTTTCACAAGTTAGAACCGGCCTCTTGCGGATGGAAGTGGACTGACGGACGCCAACGATAAGGCCACGGCAATGTAGTCACATGGCTTCAAGACACAAAAATTACAATTTTTTAACTATTTTTGAACTTCCTTCTCAAGCGTCTGTATGGAATGTGAATCTAAACACTTGTCTTTCGCACTGAAAAGAGCGGTGCCGTTGATGACCCAAATGTGATAAATCAGGTGACTAGCGATCATTTTAGTTTAGTGACAAAAAAACTAAACTAAAAAGGACCTGTTTCATCACAGGACAGACTCTGTCAGGTTGTTTGTTGATCATAACAAAGCACCATTTTAAATAGCGGTCTATGAAGCGTTATACACTGGGCTTGAGTTGTGGACATCTTAGACAATATGGTGCGAAAGAATTGAAAACTCGTTTCGTATTGAGTGGCAAATCAGACAGGAGAGGAAACAAAATTTGGTCCCCCTGTGTGGGTGAGTGGGTGGGTGCGTGTGTGCAACCACGTTGGATACCAGTAGATTTATGCTGCCGTCTGCCATGGCCAAGAGAAAGCCGCATTCATTGCTTGTGGACGCCCAACGGAAACTGCAATGCCAAATTTCCTCCACGAGGTCCACATCACTAAGAGAAATTTGCGGTGTATTTGGGTCGCTAAAGGATCAAAGTGAACAATTTCATTCTCACAGCCCTTTTCAATGTTGAGTGGAAAAACGTGGTGTGGAAAGCGATAGGAGTCCTCAAGTGGCGATTTCTAAGGCGTCTCTCAGATAACAAACAGCGTCAAACATTTCAACCTTTGCCAGCTTTCAACCACCACGCCAACTGTTCACTTCAAGTATGAATTTTATGACGAATTTATCCACACGAGTTAAATAGCAGGAGCCTAGTAGCCTCCAGGCACGCTTTTATCTAAAACTAGCATCAAGAATGAACTATATCCAGGTTGCTTGCAATTCAACTCGCTTCCATGTGCCGAACAATATCAGTCATACTACGATGCTAACGGCAGTGGACTGAAGGGAACAGTTTGACAACAATTACTCTTTTAAGAAAAAGAAATCCTTTTTAACACACCCCTTCTCCTTGAGAGGAAGATGGAGCGTGAAATTATCCATCAGACGTGGAAAGACGGGACCTGAAAGACTCGGGTAAAAATAGCCTAGGGGAGAGGACTGGACGATTTCTGCGTCCTCGTTTGAACGACAAAAATGGCCAAGTCAGGGGAGCTGTGGTTTTTGCACCGGTTTATGAATGGATGCAGTTGTTCCTTCTCGTAAGTGTGTGTGTGTGTGTGTGTGCGCAAGAGGCATCTCCACGAATCCTGTGCGCCCAGGTGGCGGTAGTCCTGGCGCCCAGGAGGGGCAATGATCACCACCACCCAGTTGACGTAAAAGGCGCGGTTCAGCAAATGTCAAACACCATTTCTATCTCGCTCACCTTAAAATCAATCTGCCGCTCTTCGATTTCCTGTGTGGTTAATCTGTCTTTCCTTCACTCCGCAATGACTTTACAGTTTTGCCGCTTACGAGATATTCTAAACAACTCCTTGAAAGTGAGGGGTCGAAAATCAAAGCTTAAGGAGACCCGTTCGATTTTAACATTTCAAATGCTCCCTTGCATTTGAAACATCGCACTGGAAATAATCGTAAGACTTGGGAAAAAAATCCGAGATTCCGGTACTACAAACTAAATTCGTAGGCAGCTATCAAACTTTACTTTGAGGCAACTGATGGAGGAGAACAGTTTAATTGGAGAAAGAAAAGTAAAATGTCTCGTAAATGCAAGAACAACCCACCTTCTTGTCATTGTCACCTAGTTGTCTCTCCAGCCTTTCCACCTTGGCTTTGTGCTTGACAACGGCATTCATGAGAGCGGGATCGAGAGGGGGAGGAGGAGCGTAGACAGTGGAGATGGGTGCTGAAATGGAGCTGGCTGGGAAGGGGTTGTCAAGGTCACTGTCTGCTGAAACAGGGGGCATGGAGGCAGTAGTATTAACTGCGGAGGCGGCAGCAGGGGACCCCGAAGCAGCGCCGTTAATAGGGGGCAGTGGCATCGGCGAGGAGAGTGGCGCAGCAGTGGCAGCAGCTCTGAGATTGGCCTGAGAGTCGTCTAGTGTAGCCTGTGCGGTGGCCAGATCCTCGCGTAACTTTACACCAGCCTGACAGCATTTGAAGTAGGCTGATTTTGCCTTAAACAACGCGCTCTCTGTGTCCAACATGCGTTTTAAATCCGCTTTCCACTTCGCCTTCAATACCTCTCTCGTTTTTGCGAACTCCGTCCTTTGGCGCTTCAGCACCTGGAAGTTAGGATAAAGCCTCACTAATGCCTGCTTCACTTCACGGATCAGCTCGGCGCAGCATAACACGTAAAGTCGCTGCACTGTGTTAAACAAACTTCCTCATTTAGATGACTTGTAGGAGAGAGATGATTAGTGAAAGCAAGGGACAACAACATTACCTCAATAAGCTCTCGATATCTCTTGGTGTTGTGCAACTCCGTTTCTTTCGCCTGTTCGACAACCTATAGGAGACGGGAGAACAGGAGCGCTTATTTAAGGATAAAAAAGAGCTAACACGTTGTCAAAGGGCATTGTTAAATGCGTAATCCAAAAGCGGCGATGTAGCCTGCTTAAAATATCTCCTGGTCAGACTGTTTGGCAATGTCTTTTGTGCCTGTTGATCAGCGTCCTCCTTCTTTCATGGTAGAATATTATACAAAGTTGATTTAGTTACTTTCTTTTTGCATTTAATGAGAGGCACAACTTCACATAGGAAATGATTTGCACCTCGCGGTAAGGTAGGGCAAAAGTGGAAATGTTGCCAGAGTGAAAACAAAAAATTAAAGAAGGTCGATCGTGCCCCGACGATCAAAGTCAAGCAAAAATTAAAAGGCGCTTCAACATAGCCCGATTTCAACCCTAATCAAGAATGAATTTACTAATTAATTAGAGCTCCAGACTTCATCGCATGCAGAAAACTGTGGACTTTCTGAACAAGAAGAGTTGACTCTAATGACTCAGTTCTCCAGGATGGATACTTTGTGCAGGAGGAGAGCATTCCTTCCCATTTGTCCTCATTTGCCCATTTTTTACGAAATGCGCTTACCGTCGGGGCTTTGACGACACACACACAAATCTTTTGCTCCTCCTCGCCCCTCCACTGCTCGCCTCACTGTAAAAGTGGTTCAAAAATTCCCTTGATTGAAGTGGACGAAAAGTGAGGTGGGAACACCTTCTTGGGACATTCTCTCCAGTGCTATTTGTTGTGTACAGATTTTGTGACTAGTTAGACCGATCTTCGAAGAGATTCGGACTACGTTTCATCATTCAACCTGTCCACTTTCAAAGCAGAAAACACAGAGGCACACGTAGCAAACCATCATCTCCACTGTCAGTGCTTAACAAATTAATGAAAACGAATATACAAGAACAAAGAAGGCATTGCTTTGACATCAAATCTACATGACAGTTGCTTGACGTCACCAACACACTGAAGCAATTATTTTATAGCAGTTTGGAATTTTGGTGGTAGAGTGGCGTGAAAGCCTTTCTTTCGAATCCTGAATGAAGAGAGGATTGAGCGATCGCGGTGCCACAACCACGCGCAAGTCCATTCAATCACTTACCTGAGGTTAATAGCCCTTACAACCCAACCGTCCAGGAGGTGAATGAGGACACACTCAAGAGAACCACTTAATGGATGGGGAATAGTATCATACTCCCATATTTCCAATAGTGCGAGTCCTTTTTCTCACTACCACAAGTTCCAATCTTCGGCCAAAGCTGATCGGTGGGATGTCTCCCCGATGAGGAGAAGTGGGAAGGATTCCCCCTCTTTCGGCATTTCTACCACCGAAATCAAGTAATCTAGGCATTCTTAAGTTGTTTGAACCGAATTGTAGCCCGAAATATTGACAACGACTTGCTTCAAGAGTGTGAAGGAAATGAAAATTGCTTTTACAAAGCCCACCTACAAAGGTGGGAAGCTTTGTCCTATCAAGCAGGTAAATTTACAATCACCCCACTTAGTGTCATAGAGTGGCGCGTTGGGCGTGAAATTAGGCAGGATAAGAACAGAAGTCACACATACCAAACGACTAAACTGGATGAGTTCGTCGGATAGCGGTGCTTCGGGCTGTAAAGAAGCTTGTTAGATGGAGGGAAGCGAATGCCTACCGTTGCACCGACACTGGTCATAAGACCTTGGAACACCTTGGCAGTAGCTCGCATGCAATCGTTCTCTAAAAGGACAAATGGGCCACATTGCCACACTGCTTTGAATGGAGTGGTACCTACTATCAGCTACTTATTTAGGTGATCGCAACCTCTGACACGATGATGCCATGCCTTCGCCCTCTGCTTGCAGTATGGCAAACAGCCATTTTATCTAAGCGAAAGCTATGGTCGGCAGGGAAACAAGCCAAACACTCAGACCTCGCGCCTTGAGCCAATCTTGCACCACTCGTCGCCATTCTGAAGCAGGGTTTGCGCTTAGACGATTCGTCCAAGAACAAGTCTATGGGATTTTGCACACCATTTGGTTCTGCCTTCAATGGGAATGCAGCATGCAACAATTCAGCATTTATACACTGCATTTAGGGGTAAATTTGGAATCTTCTTCATTTTTCAGCTTTAAAACAGGACGTATTGCAGATCCTTATTACTTCCTTAAAACCGATTAAACAAATTGACTTCATTGAGGAGAAATCTCTCGCTGCATGAGTGAAGTCCAATGCTGCTACAACAGCTAGTCTTTCCTTACCGCCATTTCAATCCTCCATAACGAGAACTCGTTCTAACCTCGGTCCGGAGGGACGCAAAGACGTCAGTTTTATACGTCAAGCTCCAGTGGAAACTGGGTTATCATCTATGCCTCTAAGGGATATGTAAACCGTTCCAATATTACCTAATGCATTTCCGTCAGAGAAACATTTAAAAAGTTTAGCTTTATAAGTCTCGGCTGTAGTACGTTCGAGCAAAGAGCATCCAGTGTTCGATTTAAGAAAGGCAAATTCTAAGCGTTTGCAAGGCACCATGACTGTAATATGGGGCTAAACGTAGTCTGGTTCGTTTATTCATACTCATTCTCTCGACACAACAGCGTTCAGATGTATCACTTGTAGTAATGGTTTTACACACAATCCAACTCACCCCTATTTAAACATTCTAGCTCCTAACGCCCTCAAATCGCAAGTAACGTGGTGCAATTTCACAGCTCCACTGCTAACAATCGCCAAAAAAGTAGCATGCTGACAATGACTCACCGAGAATTGCCCGTTTTTCCAAACTTCTTATAGTATCCTTTAGACATTTGCACCAAAGTTTGCTGTAATTTTGAACGAAATCGACAGCGTTCTTTTCCTTCCGTGCAAGAAGTTTATCCTCAGCGGTGATCCCATGACCTTAATAATGAAAAAATTTACACTTAGCAATGTAAATATCAGCCATTTGTTCAATCCCTTAACTCATAGTACTTATTTATTTTACCTTTTCCTTCGCTAAGAATGTACTTAAGCAAAAAAACTACTTAGATCTACAGCTAGAAAAAGCAATAAAATTCTTGAAAATGAGGAGTAGGTGAGAACTCACTCGGCAATGCATTTTCTCCACTCATCAGAAGTTTACATGAAAAGTCTCTCATGCGTAAGCGAGTCAAACCTCACTACTTAAATGGCATGTGAATCTGCAAAACACGTCTTTCAAACCTAGCTTAGGACTGCGTCAGTAATCGTTTGAGATTTTAAGTAAGCATATTCTTGTATTAAACTCGCAGTCTGCAATTTGAAGTTTGAAGAAAGCATGAAGTAATGTGTTCATATTAAATCTTACCATTTTAAAATGTAATAAAGAAGAATCGCTTAGATTTTTTGGGTGAAAGAAACCCTACCACGCTAAAGCTTAATGCTGGCAAGACTACTTTCAACAAAAGTGATGATCGGCAGCAAAATACTGCTGCAAATAGACATTGGGGATGCACATACATGTATTATCTCCAATGAACAAGTGTTAGAAAATCGATTAATTCGTCAATTTTGAGAATCAATACCCTCCAAGCAATAAAATACGTAGAAATAAAAACAAACTAAGAAGTGCATCAAACACTTAAAGCCCTGGGTAAAATTGTCCTTTTAAGCTAAAATAGGCAAGGTTCAATGCTTAAATGATTTTCGGAGAAAAATTAAAAGGGAGGTTTTTTATAAAGAAGGACAATTTATGATTTTTAATAGCAACAAAAATAAAATACCATATTCAATAAGAATGTCGCCGATGTTTCCCTTTACTTTCTTGTCATTTTCGTCTGTTGTAGCCATAGTTCAAGCCCTACTAGCATGAAAAGAATGTAATTCCCTAGGAGTGGCATAGCTGCAATGAGAATAAAGTGGCAGTCGAAAAGTATAAAACTAAAACTAACAAACCTCAACCATATACGATACAATAGCCAAAATGTATTCGCTTCGAGCGGATTAAGAGTAAAAACACCCAACACATTTGCAGTCAGAAGTATGAAGAGACGCTATAAGACATTAGGGAATACAGACACTTTGTACAAATTTAAGACCAATATGCGGTATTTTAAGCAGGGAGGCAGTCAGGGCTCTGCGTGTACCAATAAAAGTCTAGGCGTGAAGTGACACAAAATCACCGATTGAAACATAAGCAAAAACCCCAAATAATATAACAGAACATGCAGTTAGCTTTCATAGACGCGTCTGATATCTAAACACAACCTTGATTATCATTTCGAAAAAGTAAAACAATTTCACTTGCTAATAATGTAAGGTGAAAAGAGGTATGTAAACCATCGGTGATTTACTAGAATTTGAGATAAGTTTAGCAAACTTAGACGAAATTCAAGACGTCTCAAATGGTGATTACGAAAGATAGTCTGGTTGTTTCTGGAATATATTAACTCTTTGATTACCTGCACCATTCAGTGGTCAACTTGTTATTCACTTTGCCCTAGCATGCATAACCAAACCATAGTCTAATATGTCCTCTTTTATGCAGTGTCTCGAGAGGTCCTATAGGGTGGAAGAAGGCCGTAAGTGAGGCTGGATACATGCATTCCGAAGCGAACAGAGCAATTGGAGCTGAGCATGATCCGAAGGTTAGCCCTCGTGCACAAGAGCCAGATAAACCTTAAAGTGACAGTTAAATGCCAGGTATTTACATATTTAGTTCCCCAAGGCTTCCTATAAGGTGGAAGAATGCATTAGCGAGGTTGAATAAATGTATCCCGAAGATGACAGGGCAAATGAGGTCTGAGCATGGCCCGAAGGCCAGCCCACGTGTACAGAGACCAAACAAATTCTAAAGTGACCAGTAAACGTCATATGGTTACATAAACAAAGCGTTACAACATAAACATAGTACTACACTGCCCCTTTCTTCTTTATGCGACGTCCTCAGCGCTCCTCTTTGTAGCTTCCCGCGCCAGCCATAAAAAAATATTCGATGCTACAAGAAGGCACCCACAAGCCATCCGCGCCAGTCGATTAATAGCATGAAACTGAGAAACCGTACTTGGTTTCCTCGGCAGCTTAAAATGGACTCGGATTCGGAGCTGCATATATCTGTTGACCATCAATTGCTTCTAGGACTAGATGGTAGAAATATGGTCTAAAACAGAAATTCTGCAGAGAAAAAAGGATAAGCCACCATTCCGCGTGTAAGGAGATCTGACATGACACTTTTCCAAAGGTTCACGGCGGTGTCACTTCATTTATTAGTTTATCTGCGGAACATGGAATTAAGGTGAAGCCAAATGCAGGTGTTGGTTCCGATCCTTTCGGTGTCTCTTCCACACCGTAGGTACATGCAACAAACGGTATTGCTAAGATAGAAGTCGTTGGAAAATGTCCAGTTCGCTTTCCGCTGCCACCAGTGTAGCGTTCGGGGGCTTCCATAGGGTGGAAAAAAGCAGTAAATGGGGCTATATGCATAAATTCCGAAGAAAATAGAGCAAACGTTCCTGAGCATGGATCAAAGGCCAGCCCACGAGTGCAATGACCAGTCCAATGATAAAGAGATCGCCGTAGATCAGGTAGTCAAACAAACAAAGTATTACATTTCATGCTTAAGAGAACATTTTGTAGAGCCACTTAATGCAGTCTACCTAGCAGGAATAAAAATATCTGACTCGTGTGAGCACCAGTAAGTCTAGCAATCACTTCGGTATTCGTGCTTACAGCAATGCGATGAATGGCATTCAAGCCAAGTAAAAGTCCAACCTCTTCCCATGCGCCAAGAAGGCATGTATTCAGCCCAACCGGACACACTCTACCTAGTAGAAATTCTTGGACACCTAGACTGGTGGAAGCTGGAAGCAAACCTAACTTTCCTCCTATGACTCCTTTCCAACTATCCACCGTTTGCGACACATATCTGCGGTGCGAAGGAAGTGCATGTACTTCGCGTGAACGAATCCATGAAGCATTCACAACACAGGAGTTGAGAATAATGCCCAACCACTGATCCACCTTGCTCTCGTGTTGGAAGTGACACTACTCCGGATCCCCTCCCCTACGGGACGTCGTTTGATGTCGCCTTCGCTGTTAAACATCAGTTTTAGACGCATGTGCCAACGGGTGCATGCTATTCTGGTTCGTGCTGCCAGAGGAAACATAAATCCAGATGCAGTTGAAGCTACTGAGAAGGCCAAGTGCAATCCCTCAAACTTGTGGTAGCTGATGGCTGGAGTGACTAATTACAGTTTCGTACAGAATATGCTGTGATGGCTACAGATGAAGGTAATTGTAGCGTCCCGAGACTTCCTGGCCGACATAAGAATTCAGTAAGTGCAGCTGAATACATGTATTCCGATGACGACTGGGCAAATGAACCTGAGCATGGCTCGAATGCCAGCCCACGTGCACAAGGGCCATACAAATTCTAAAGTGATCGCCAAACTTCATTTGGTCACATAAATAAAGTATTACAGTAATAACGAGGACGTTGATCAAGATAAGAAAGGGATGGTGTAATACTTTGTCTGTGTGGCCACCTGTGTTCGGTGGTTATTTTATTGTTGATCCTACTTTTGTACCTCGTGAAGTGCAAGTGAACACCACAACAACGCTTCCAAAATTTTTGGACTATAATAAATGGGAGGAAATCAAATTCACTTGCCATGTGCTGTAAAATAAGTTGTATGGTCTATGATCTTTGTCTTCCTAAAAGCTTATTTGGCTTTGTGAGGCGGGCTGTTTCAAGTGCGTGTGCTCTTGGACGTCGGCTTGTGATGATAAGAAGTATTTTTATCATAAACAAGGACCGAGAAGTTCTTCTTGAAAAGCATTGGAAGACTATAACTCCACGATCAGTCCTCGATTCGATCTGCGAAGGCCAGTCGCAAGTATGACCCTGATTCAGGAATAAAGAGAGCTCAGATTTTTTGCACGATTATATGTTATTTTTAAATGCAGGAATGTTAACTGACTTGCGCGACTTCATTATGATTTTAGACTTTGGACCCCTTGAAGGTTCCAACTGCAGTAGAGGCTCCAAATAATGTAATATTAATTATTGTGGAAAAAAATAGTCTCTTTTTCATTGCTACATGCAACGAAGAAGGTATTGTGGAAATCAGCCCATTTTTGATCGTCTTTAGCCCCTCCCCTTTTGATTATGGAGTTCCTTAACCAGGTTGTACTGATTTTTGAGGATTACTTCGGAAGCGTTGGAGAGTCAACTGTTGTCGACAATATTGTTTGCGCATCGGAGGTGAGGGTCTCAGTGCATTTAAAGCTCTTTCGCAGTAATTGTATGCATAGCTATGCGTTTTTAGCTTTTGGACGAGATGCTTGATAATGGATTTCCCTTAACAACTGAGCCAAATATTCTCCGAGAGCTTATTAAGCCACCCAAACTTTTAAGATCAATTGCTGAAGTTGTGACAGGTCGACCTGTCGGTGGGGTCACATCCACTCTGCCCATCAATCAGTTGACCAATTTACGATGGCGTCGCACTGGTGTCAAGTACACAAATAACGAAGCTTTTTTCGACATTACCGAGAGTGTCAACGCCATCATCGATCGGTCGGGAAATATTCTTCTCGCTGATGTTGAAGGGGCGGTGAGTTTTAATCACTTAGATTAGTTTCCTCCGTATCTTCCGAAGCGTTTACACTCATGGATCTTGCTGCATTCAATTATTCTCACAATCACAGCAGTGCATTCGTGGTCATCTCTTTTCTCCACAGATTGACTGCACAATACATCTCTCGGGAACGCCTGATCTGACCCTTATTTTCAATAACCCTCGAATATTAGATGATGTCGGTCTTCACCCTTGCGTCCGGTACATTCGATGGGACAAGCAAAGGATACTTTCATTCATTCCACCAGATGGAAAATTTCGATTGTTCACTTACTTTGTTCCAAATCTTAGGTAATTTAATACGGCTTATTTGTGATCATTTCTACACAATATTCTACTAACAAACTTCAGTTAACTTCCAAAAAATCCACACTCATGAGAACATAGCCGAATATACAGACCTCACTGGTTGTTGGCAATCGAATTTTCTTTATATTGGGTCGCTTTTAGATCAATTTGAAGTTATGCATCATGTTGCGATTCGTTACAAACCTTTGCCACCGTAACATCCATACACTTCATTGAGGATCAATTACACTGCTTCTTTGCATGCAATTCCTATCAATTTTTTCGCTATGCTTGATGATTGTTAAAATTTTTGTGATACCCATCACGGGCTTGTGGTACCAAAACCGCTCAGATTACTTATTATCCGTTCAAACTGTTGAATTTCACTAAATCGTTTCTATTCGAGCACTAGAGGAGATAAAACCTCTCCGTTCCTTATCTCAGTTCCATATCTCTTCCAATCGCACTGAGGCACAACATTTCTCTCAAGGCTGCTGGCAGCCGATTTGAGCTATCCGTGTCTCCAAAGTCGACGGCTGGGCGACCGGTAAGCTGATGACTGATGACCGCCTTTTTCTTGCTGTGTCCTTAGAATAGTCAAGTGAAGCAACTTGCCCAGCTAACTGGAGCTGTATCCTACCCAAGTAAACGACGTCCTCTATGCATGTTTTGAAAAGATTTTATTGATCCTTTACAATAAGTTTGTTTTCTATGTTGGGTTGCTTTCGCTTTTTAACAAAATTAGGATCAGTGTTTTATCGGTTAAATAACTAGCCCATTACTATTCTGGATCACTTGCGCATTTACTAAGTAACACTGTAGCCGATCGAACTGACTGTATCCTGACCACTTGGAGAGTACCTTTTGAATACTTGTTTTCAGCATCACTTTTTAATTCGATAACAGCAGGAGTGCCAATAACACTACCATCTTGAACTTGTCTTCAAACTAATCGTGATGAGCAATCCAATTCGGCTTTAGTCTCAATCCACATGATCGACAATGCGTATTCCCTATATCTTTGATTTCAATTGTTAATGGTTTGCCGAAATCGGCTGTGGTACGTGTTTAGTCTCAGCAGTCGTATCGAGTGGCACAAAGTCAAAACCTACGTCTGTATTTCCACCCTTTCCTTCCCCATATAACAACGAGTACTTATTCATTGTGCAGCTTCTGCAGACGAATCGTAAACTGAAGCACCAAACCATATTCTCCTCATAATTCATTTTCCTATGCTGCTTTCTAGATATGATCGTTATCTAGCTCCTGTGCTTGGTCTAGAAAAGTCTAACTGGACAGACACATTTACTATTCTCACGATTAACGTGTGCCTTTGTTTGGTAAAGCTGGAGAAGGTGAAGGTTAATGTGGCGATGCCGTCGGAGGTTAGCAGTGTCAATGTGACTCCTTCCCTTGGGAAGTCCAGTTTCGATACGGTGACTAAAGTGCTCACCTGGGACTTGGGCCACCTGGAGACTCAAACATACCCCTCCATTAAGGGCTCGGTGAGTCTCTCGTCTTCGTTAGCATAGAGCATTGCTGCAACTGTAGGATTGAATTATCTACTTTTTTGCAGGTAACGCTGCACAGTGGGTGCACACAAGCCTCTACAGCGCCCATCGTTAATCTGCAGTTCGAGTTTCCTCAATGTCTGGTGTCTGGTCTCCGTGTTTCCAGACTGGAGATGCACACCGAAGTTAGGGAGTTCTTCACCTATTGGCTCTTTGCCTTGGGTTGTGATTGTCACTTTTCGATTGTTTTCTCATGTTCTAGAGCTACAAACCCTACAAGGGCGTGAGGTATGTTACTGTTGCAGGAAACTTCGAAGTCAGAGTCTAGAAATCGAGAAGAAGAACTTGTGATACCTTATCCAACCCTTGTGATGACCCTTTCTTCTCCATTCCACATTCTCTCTCAAGTGATAATGCTAGTACTTTTGAAAGTAACCTTTTTCAGTGCTAGGCACATTATGATTGTCATTGGCCATACAGAGCAGGAAGTAAACATTAAAGGGATAGCAAATAAGCATTACAAATACAAGAGTGAAATACGTGTGTTTATGTGTGAAAGACAGGAAACTCAGGAGCATGGAGCCTAGGGGCCCCCGTCTTGGCACATCTTTTGTACATAGCTAAGTTGCTTTTTCCGTCTCGACCCTAACTCGAGATCACTCGTGGGTACTGGGGTAGGATCGTAGGGACACCAAACTGGTCCCATGCCCGGCGGTTTCTGGACAACACCCGTGTTGTTAGCCTTCGCCAGCAACTCAGGGTCTACTGGACGCATGGGTCTACAGCAAGTGACAGTTAGGTGGGTACATGAGCGTTGTTTAAAAATGAAAATCTATCCTATTAACTGACGCAAGAAATGATTGTAGACTTAAGACTTCTGTTGGGGTATTTGGGGAGATGGCAGGAGAAGCGAACTTAAGGGTGGACTAAAGTTAGCTACGTGAGGTAGTCAATCTAATTTACCGGTTGGGCTCACCACAGAGGTCGGATGGCCAGTCAGAAGTGAGGCCGTCTCTACGAATGCCCGTGGTTTCACATACCCACTCAGCGAGCTCGGCAGTGTTGCACACAGGTGGGTCGAGCATGAATGGCACCGAGGATAGGGTGAATGCGCTAGTGTCATCAAAGTCCATAATTGGCTGATACGCTGTGGAGAGAGCATGATTGAAGGCGAACAGACGCTTGCGCTCCAGGTAGTTACTGCTCAGTGGGGCCCGTCGCATGAAGGAGTATCCCGTTTCCTTAGCCACAGTCGCATTCACCGCCGCGTTCGCAATACGCATCAATTTTTTGCCTTTAGGAATGAGCAACACTAGCAATCATAACTTATTCCACCGAACCGAGAAGGGCTGAATGCCTGTTGTGAAGCATAACTCTCAATGTCCGTTGACAGACGGTCATTTAGAAAAAAATTCAAATGACTAAGAGAACCAATAAGAACCTCAATTGTGCCGAGCTACTTAATGGTTTGTTACCAAAAAAAATTATCCTCAGCCAAAGCACTTGATAACTTGTACGCAAGTATAGTGCGTCAAAGTATGTCTGTCGTGCAAAAGTGGGCTTATGAACAAAGAGGGATACGCACCAGCCATTCGTGAAAGAGCATGGTGCCCGGTTACAGGAAGGTGGTAGTCCTCCTCTTGAGAGAGGCTGTCCAGAGTGGCCGGTATGAGACCATCGGCAAATGGAGAGGCAAACTCCGTCTGCATTGAGGAGTGATTGAAGTGACAGGAGTCTAGTGAAGTCGAGTACAAGTGTATACTCCCACCTTCTGTACCAAAGAGAAGACACTGAGCGCTAAAACAAATGGAAGGCGAAAAAGGCAGTTAGACATTAACTAATCAGATAATTGGAGGGGTTAATGGTGGAAGAAGATCCACTTAGAGGAGACGCAGAAGGAAACGACTCGATCGTAGCAGTCGAGCATGATGTTGCCCATACTCTCTGGGTCCAGATTGGGTGCCTCAAATTCAAGAGGCTGAAAGGCTCCTGACTGGGAGGCAACCATGATTCTTTGCATGGGTCCAACTGTCGCCAAGAAACTGGGATCCACTACGGTCGATAGTGGCGCTTGATAGCGCCCAAACCGCAAGTCATACACCTTCACATAAAACGCACAGAAAAATAAAGCTCCTGAAGTATGTATTTGGGGTGAGTGCTTTATGGAAAAACAAATCCTTTAAAATACAGTTCATGATTTGGTTGATTAACCCGGTGCATATTCCTACATTCCTTGTAACGGAGATGGTGTAGGGAAAAGGATCCGTTTTGGTGGGGAGAAAGAGGCTCACATTAACTAGCCGATCAATACGAAGGGACCCATTAAGCTTGCGTGACCAGCCGCAGGTAACGAGGGTGAAGCCATCGAAGAGAATTGACATATCTGATATCTCGCCCGAATGTGCCTCAAAGGAGCGCACCACGCCCTCAACCGCGCGCGGATCAATTATCTTCACCTGTGAACAATGCCAATTTATCTCAGCTTTTCAGCGTTAGAAAAGGCATAAAATTTGGGATTTATTTTACCTCTACATTTACATCAAGAGACATTTCCAAAAGGGTTTCATCCAAAGACTCCTTAAACGTACTCAAGTGAAGTTTCAGTAGAAACATACGGAAAGTGCTCATTTAAAATCGATCTAAGACTCAAATGAAATGCACCCTCAAGGTACCAAAGTGAAAAACATGTGGCCAAGAGTAGGGCTGTTTTCAAGAAGGCAGGAAAAACCAGAGCGTTAGATCGTGGAACAAAACTCATGGAACCACATTTTAGAACACATAAAGCCCATGAGCTATTAAATCCATGATATCAGTGTCGACCAGGTTAATATTGTGTAACCACAATTTCGCTCAGGTACAGAAATATTGGTAGACCATTTGGTTGAGTAGCCTACAGTACCTCTTATCGTGTCTACGAACCATAGGAAAATTGGTAGATGTATACGCACCTGACCGGTAGTATTGGCAGCACAGAGACCAAAAGCAAAGGGTTTTAGGCTGACGGCTCCTTCGTCTCCCACGTGGATAGTGCGGATGAGAGAACCCCAATTAGCGCCGCTCACGGCGTCCAGCTCGAACACCTCTGGCTGTAGACCCCCACAGAAGAAGCGATCAAAATCAGCCGAGTCGTTGGGCGAGGTAGCACAGGGCGTGCCCCTACACGCCGTCATACACTCCAGCGCCTGCATCTTCTCTGTTCTGTGAGGTTGTAACATTAAAAAACGTAGGCTTCTGTCAAACACGAAATGAGGTGTTAGGTAAGTGCAATGCTCTGAAGTAACTCGGCAAGTATTAGTAATCAGAAAACAATTGAGGCAGTTTAGTCTACCGAAACCAAAGTATCATTAAAGTAAAGGCAAACAACGATTTTAAATTGCTAATCTTATCTGCAAACAAGTAGCACAAGCGCGACAGTTTAAGGGAGTAAGATTTAGGCGCAAAAGGCCTACGTAGAATAACCGATAGGTCGGCAAAACTTGGAATAGGCAAAGATGGCATTTCTTGCCAGCATGTAGACTATTCGTTCAGTGTATCGTGGTGAGGGGAAGACGGATCTGAGCTCACACTCCTGCGGAGAGCCATCAGTCACTGTTGAGCCCACTGGAATTACCGGTGCTGTAGTGTACTGCTCCAGTGTGCCACCGTAGAAGCTTGTCAACTGACCCTAAACACATATTAAGGGGCCATCGCATGACCAAACAGTTACTCATACCCCTGAGGTTGTAACCACTGTGGAAAAAGTACTTACAGTTGCAGTGACACACCACACGAGCTCCTCGCACGCATCAAAGGCGATGTCGACAATGCGGTTAATCGGGAAAACGCCATTCATTGGGTGACTTGAAATCATCCAGTAGCCACCAGTGTTGTAGAACTGACCTCCATCATTCACCACGTCATCGGGTACCATTTCTTTGCCCAAAACAAGTGGTTTCTTACGAATGATAGGGCAATAGTCTTAAAGAGACAAACGAAAAGTAGAGACCATTGCAACACGAATTACCAGCGATTCGCATTCACGGTAGTGATATCGTACAGATGTGAAATCGCGTCACAATCAACAAGTCATGGGGTGGTCTTGAAGTCCAGTCCAAGACCTTTTTAATTTACAGCAGATGTAACTCAATAGACTATTATCTGAGGAAGAAGAAAGTCCACGAGGAACAGAACAGTCGAGTTAGCTTCAAAGCCCTAATTCATCCATTTGATTCGAAATTAAACGATAGAGATGCGGATCAAGGGCTGCTTATGACTATCACAGACTCCTCATCTACAATATGCATTTCATTAAGTCATAAGTAGGTGTGTAGAGAAAGAGCAGTGCGAAAGGAGCCTACAACGTGCACGCAAGAGGATAACGTACAGTACCTAGCAAACAACGTGCAAACAGAAGAAATGGTGTTTGTGGAAAATTTTATTCAAATTCGTCAAAAGTCAAGTTTTGAATCACCAGCACCACCTCCATTAGCACCTGCAGTGCGATGCGGGTGAGAGGTAGCGGTGCTGGAACGGCTGGCGGTCTCCGAAATGCAAGGTGGAAGATTCAGATACTAAAATGGTAACGGTTTCAAAGTTATTCTTGGTGAACTTACAACTAGAAGCAGTTGTTAAAAAAGCATCCCATTTCTGCAAATTATAAGATGTAAGAAAGCGGATATTTGAATCTACTAAAGCTTCATGTCATTAATTTGGATGGACATTGCTAACACATTAAATTCGCATTTTAACAAGGACATTTCCTCCTAATAAATGACATAGCAGTAGGTCTTGGATATGCGACAGCAAAATGTACAAACGCAAAGACCAGTTTTTCAAAAAAAGGGGAGGCAGAACACAAACCTTTAGGATGAACTGTTTTCGCTTGACTTTGAAAGCCCATTCTAGTGTGAGAGGACGCGTAATCGGTTCCAAATTCAGTCTGGAAACTGAGGGAAGCTTGAGAACTTCCAAGAGTCCATTATACTCTTCATAGACGGGGTTGGCAGTCACTTTACCGCTAGCCTCTAGACCGTCAAATCCGGTCACTTCGAAAGCGTAATCGGTGTAGCTCATCCAGCTTGATGCAGCACCTGATTCCTGAAAGGAGCATAGAAAGGAGTGCGATGACGACCAGAAACCCCATGAAAAAGTGCTATCGACCATCAAAGAAATTCCCAGTTAAAAACTAGCCACTCAACATCGAAAAGAAAGGTTTTTCAAACTACCAATAACATCTAGTCGGATTCCAAAATTATTACAAGAATTAAAAATTCAGTGAGATGTTAAAGGTTCATTCGTCATCGACACCCAAGAATGAGTTACTCACCTGAAGTGCCAGCTTTGAGACAGAGATGTAAACAACGTGGAAGGAGTAACGAAGGAGGAGGCGCAGACGCACAATGAAATTGGCAAGACATGCCTGGAGGTTTCGAGGTCGTCGACCCCACAGTGGAGATGCAATTGAATCCATGACTGAAAACAACACACTACTTATTCAAATCACTAACCGACTGCTAATTAACGATTATCTTCAATGACACATCCAATTAATAAGTTTTGAAAAAGAGTATCATTGACAGGGTGATAAGTAGAATGGTGGTAATAAGCACAGAACATACGAACTGGTTCAGATGAAATGAAGATGCACAGCAGACTAATGATAACTCGATCACACGAAGGAAAAACTCCAGGACAACATTTGAAACAAAACTTGCCTATTCTACACACGGCAGACTTTTCACGACGAACGACTTCCTCAATGTGTTCTAAAACCTTGGAAAGATTTTCTTCCAGGCTGAAAAGGAAGACGCATAAGTACAACAAAAACTTCACCTGCAAAATGGATTGATTTTAAGTTCACACGAAGCTAAGGTGGGGACAGAGGCGAACTCTGCCAGGTCCAAATTACTGGTCATGTCGAATTGATTGGAAAGCGACTTCTTAGTTACTCCAAGAGGAGCCGCCTAGAGTGATAATTATGATAAAATATACGCGCCTTACATTCGAGATGGAAAGATTTTGATATCGCCAAGCAATTACCAATTGATCGGCGGAAGAGGGTTCAATACCAGCGTGGGAAATGCCTGGAACATCCTGTTACACGAAACAGTCACAAATGGAGCAAAGTAGCTACCATGAGAAAAGCCTGAATTCGGTCCAACGATGATATGAAGCAAACATGATGGTGATATACCAAGCCCTGTGTCACAAAAAGCTTCTGAAAGTATCGAATGTATGTACGATGTACATCCTCAACTGAGAATTACGTTGATGAATAAACTTTACTAAATACAGCGATTCCACCTAATATCAGTCCTCCACCTTTAATGTGGTTCAAGGATTAAATAAAATTTACCAATCAGTTCATCAAACTCCGAAAGACCAGACCCAGTAACAAAACAGTCCTGGTTCAATAGTTTCTTCAGGCCCGATATGTGCCTGGGCGGCGCCTTCGAAAGTCTTCGTTCCTCACACTTTTTAAAAGCACTCATAATATGACTAAAATACCAGGATATTACAGAAAGAGTGACAATCTCAGAAGCAAAAGTCCAAATATTAATGTATTTCAGACATCTCACTTTACGTGTTAATTGAAATTTTTCAACCTTAACAACTAAGAGCCAACTCATAAGTGAATATTTAACGTAGGACTTTTAGACAGTAACAATCAAAAAGCACAACTTGCACAGCCAGTGGTACCAAAATAAAGCACATAAAAATTAGGATAATGATAGACTATGCGACGTTTTTGAAATTGCAATCAGAAGCGCGGAAGACATTACAAAGTGCAAGAAAGAGAAATCCTTGGATAAAAAAAGGAGAGACGACTCTGAAAGACTACAGATACCAAGATATGGAACACAAGCATCTAACGAATCAGTTGATCCGCCAATGCGGATGAAAAGATAAAACAGATTAGTATATAACAAAGAAATACATTAGATAATCATTAAAGAAGATCAGAAATGATCCCAGAGAAATAAAACTCAAAGTTGTGAAGTATTTAAATGTCGGAAATAAGAACAAGGACCCTTCTACTTTAAGTGTAAAATTTGCAATAAAAATACATTTACAACTAGCTGCAAAACGCGCCAATGATTCTTTAATTTTTTCTATTTGAACATTTACTGGTGCAAACTCAGTCATTAAAAAGTCGAGGCTATTGTTATGGATAAAGAGTCAAAGTGTGGGTAGGAAATGAATTAAGTTGGGACTAATACACATATTTTAATGCAAAGGAGAAGAAAATCAGACCTCGGACTGACTCAAAAGCCAGATAATGAATATAATAACAGAACGGACACCAAGGTGACCACCGGACACACAAATTATTACCCCATACCTCCCTTCTTTTGATCAACCTCCTCGTTATTATATTCTGTACGATACTGTAGTTAGCCACGCCAGCCATCAGCTACCACAAGTTTAAGGGATTGCACTTGGCCTTCTCAGCAGCTTCAACTGCATCTGGATTTATGCTCCCTCTGGCAACACAAACCAGAATAGCATGCATCCGTTGGCACGAGTCTAAACTGATGTTTAACAGCGAAGGCGACATCAAACGACGTCCCATAGGGGAGGGGATCCGGAGTAGTGTCACTTCCAACATCTAAACACAGTTGCAACAAGGAGCTCTAAAATGATTGTTAGTAGCTTGTCTGTGGAACACGAGAGCAAGGTGGATCAGTGGTTGAGCATTATTCTCAACTCCTTTGTTGTGAATGCTCCATGGATTCGTTCACGCGAAGTACATGCACTTCCTTCGCACCGCAGATATGTGTCGCAAACGGTGGATAGTTGGAAAGGAGTCAGAGGAGGAAATTTAGGTTTGCTTTCAGCTGCCACCAGTCTAGCGTCTCAAGTCTTCTTACTAAATAGAAGGGAAATAGATTGGCCTATGGCTTGGTTTGAAGGCCAGCCTACGCGTTCAAGTCAAGCACGAATACCGAAGTGATCGCTAGACATACAGATGGTCACATAAACAAAGTACTACCATTACAACATGTTTTCCCTTAATTACAGGGTCCAGTGAGTGGTTATGTATGCTATCACGTTTGGATTGTAAGTCAAAAATTCAAACGAACAAAAACTTACTAACCTGGTGTAGGTTTGGCTCACTTAAATATTTGAGGTATTGTATTTTCCGAGATTGCTGACTTTAAAAGAGAAGTTGTTTGTGGGGAGAAAACATCCATTTTTAATAGAGTCGGTATAGCCGCAAGACTTACCACTTGTTATTAGTAGGCATAAGGCTTATCTGTGTGCTTTCATTCACACAGAAAGGGAAGAAGTAGGAAGTCTTATAGACCAGACCACTCGACGGAAGCAAGATGTCCGTCCGAAGAAACACCACTTCTATAGCTCTAAATTCGGCTTACATGCAGCCCTTATTTGTAAGAGAACTAGCATTCCATCCTTTACAGTTGATGCTCATTTCAAGCAATTGCTGCAAATGTTTTAACTTAATGGTTTGCATCATTCATTATTATTGTTGAACCAAACATGTAAAAGTTTTTGATGCATATATCAGGTTTTACCGGAGTCTTCGCCCGTTCTTTCGGCGTCAGGATAAGTTAAGTTAAACATCTGTACTGCGTTTCTTCATATGAAAAGTGCAGAGCAACTTTTCGACTGTTGACATAAAAAGCCGAACGATCCTGAACGTAGGCTGATTCGTGGCACTAGTAGACTGTCATGAGGATAAAAGAAGGAAGGATCCAATGAAGGCGTACCTAAGTGAAGCCTACACCAAACTCAAGAGTAAATATAAAATGCAGTAACTCGGGATTTAGTTGAAAGCCTGGTGTTAGCGACTCAGGACTACTGGATTGAGGAGTGACGCGCTAGTTGCAGGATGATGCCGCACGCTGGTCTTACTGGCAACAATCATGACACAGTTCAATTATGAGTGACCTCTAACGGCCCTTTATTCTTACTCCAGGGATTCGTGGATGGAATAAGCATGCTAATTCAATCGACAGAGAGTGATTAGGATCACCTTTATTTCTGCCAAAACTGTAGTGCTTCAATCCCGCCATTACTGAAGATGTATACTACTTTGTATTGCATTTCCTGCAGCATATATTTAGGCGATTGCGCTCATGGCCCAAACGCTTGTCTAAACTTATCAAAGTACAACAGAAATGTGGTAGGCTTTTCCAGTCCTTTTTTCACCTCCATGTGACAACAAGATCAGATGGACAACGTCTTGATATGTTGATCAGTAATGAGTAAGAGGATGCGTAAGTCTTATAACTTAGGTGTAGTCAGGACGCCTCTTCTCCTCTGATCACGCTTGCATCCTTACCACCACGAGGATCGTATTTAGTGATCGCACCCCCCAAAAGGTACATTAGAGCGAGTTCTTATTACAGCAATATCTAGGTTTCGAAATTTAGCTTTTTTGAGCTTTTAAGTAGCGCGAGAAGCGATGCATTACACCAGCTGTACCCTTATCACCTACAGCAATTCCCACACTTATAGATGTTGAAAGTGAAGCACTTGAGGCAGCGAGTGTCAATGCAAATTTCACAAGTGAGTGCCTAAGGGATTTATCAAGAGCAACTGACAAGCAATCTTCTTAAGAATTCGCATTCTAGTGGATGTTACTGCAACAACAGCAACAACATCACCTGCCTGCAGCCCACTCGCATTTGCAACGTCTGTAAACAAACGTCCTTTGTGCAACTCTGTGCTTTGTCTTTGCATTTGCGGCTATTTTAACGGACAGACCGGCCTTGTGTGCCTGCAGGATTCACGGAAGAAGATAAGAATCGAGTTGCCTCATTTCCTATTACTGATTTTTTGCTTACCCCCATAGTGAAAGTGAGATGTCAAAATCTCGTTAACTCAAACCAACCAAGGCTTTGAATTAGTGCAAGCGGTCAAGTTCGTGCCATTCCGAGTGACGTGTAAATTTTATCTAACGCTTAAAAAGTTCTTCACATCTCTCTGCTTCATGAAGCGAGACTAACCGAGCACTCATAGGTATTTCAAGGCATCTGTTTCCCACTTTAGTCAATTCGAGTCTACCATTGCATTGTGATATGGCAACGCACCTTTCACAATGTCAATGTGGAAGCCGGACCTTGAGTGCCTTGAGTGACTGTTTCCTTCTCGTCTCAGCGTAATCGGTGCTGTAAGGGTAAGCGTTACCAAAAGTTCTCTGCAATTCTAACAGAATAGGGAATTGTGTCCTCTTTGAAATTTGCAGCAAAGGGTGGGAGGAGAAATGCGAAGCTTACTGTAGTAGTGATAGTTTAAAATTGGATCCAAAAGCAGAGTGGCGCGACAAATGGCACAGTTTAACATACTTCCTTGAGAAATATGTTAAATTCTATTCCTCCTCCTCACTTTATTTCTACTTCAAAGAAACTCATCCATGTATTTTAATGTGATAGAGGAGTTATTTAGTGACACCATCGCACTTCCTCTGGATTTGGAGTTTCATCCCTCTTAGGAATGGCGGTAAAGAACGGAGCATACATCAAAGTCAGGTACCAAGGAATATGCTTCAACACCAGTTTTGAGAGCAGTAAAGTTTACTCTCTCTTCAATGCCGCCCAGTTCTATCTCTCTGGGTTCTGTCGAACCATTATGAATTGATGAAATTACAGTATACAGAATTTTCCAGATGAACCACGATTCATACCATTTCAGTTAGCAAAATTTTCGTAATTCAATTAAAGTTTTTTTTTTAAGGATTGTTTTACTTAAGCGTCACCAACGTGGTGTTCTTAGATTTCTTCCGAAATCAAAGAAAGGATCAGACGTGCACCTTCAAAGACATTCCTCAAGCTCTGCGTTAATGAACGCGACCAAGTTAGTGGCACAAAACGGCTCCACATAAAGTTTCAGAACCTGTAATCTTGTCAGACCATTCCCAATTTGACCACAAGTGGTGGTCCGAAAAACAAAAGCCGTCTTATGTGTTGCTGTGGTTAGTTAGCCAGAGGTATGTGGTTTCTGTTAGTGTATTTCTGTTAAAACTGCATTGACGAAAGGTTACAGATTCTACGTTTGCCCCTTTAAGTTCTGACTACAGCTTTCCTGGCCTGTAAGAAGGACACATTTTTCACCACTGAGGAGGTGCAGAAGCTGTCAAGACTTAAGAGGAATGTGTGTTTATTCTATCTTCAGAAGTTAAAGGCATCCCAGACGTGACGTGGTGGCTACAATGGAGCACAAAACTGTCATTATTGAGGAAATCACAAGAACCGATTCGAGACAGTCTCAGTATTGCGGCCGTGTACTGTTTGATTAGCCTCTTTTGAGTTCAATAGCTGGGACCACAAAGCCGAAGAATTTCTAAATCAGCACAGAATTCTAGCAAGCATTCTATCAAAAAAAAATGTTAGTCTTTGCTAGTGTATTGCTCAGCGAAGAGAGAAAATTAAGCCATAAATTGGAAAATTTATGTCTACGCTACTAGAGTCCAGAAGTCTAGATGCTTCTTTTATTCCATTGTTGTATAACCAGTCCGCAGATTGCC